TCCTCTGTCGTGTTGTCGATTGCGGTGAGGCCTTGATGGACACTGTAGCGGGCCATTTCAGCCGCCACCGACATTTACAGTGCATGCTGGCGGGTCGTTCGTATGGACGGCTGCATGTCTGCATGTGCAAGTACTCCATATTGAGTGCTAGCATGAGCAGTCGGTGGGAGAATGAGGTAGATACAGCAAAGGCTACACTAGTAAGGGGTCGGCTAGATCTCCAGCCAAGGCTTGACGCTGCTTGATCCCTCGCTTGCTTGCTTTGGCCGCCTCGAGGCCGTTTTGCCTTTCCAATGCTGTTATATCCCTCAATACCTTGATTGCGCGCCGCCAAGAAGAGAGGGAGAGCCAACGCCAAGCGACGCACAAGTACTGTGCAAAACAAGCATGAATGCAGGCAGCAGAGGCTTCCCAATCGAGGAATTGGGAGTCATGCTCTGGAAAAGGGACGGCGACAGGGGAGCTTCTGCAGACTGACTGGTACGTATCCGCGCCGAGCCCCCAAGTGGCCCCCAGTGCGCGCCTGCTATCACCCGCACGGCCACCGGCTGCGTGCGTTGTAGCTCCAGGGTACCGCTTTCGCCCTAGCACGGGCCCATTGGCGTGCCCCAGTCTTCGCCGCCGTACCTGGGACCCGTCAAAACAAAAAAACTGTGGGCTCGCATAGCGCCTGCTCCGGGAGTCTTGCTCGTCCCTGGGAAAGTCACAGAGCAGCCATTGAAAAAGACGCTCTCGCCCCGGGTCTGCCACAGCTTTCTCTTTCCTTTTTTTCTCTTCACCCACGAATGCGTTGAGTTCAAGCGTCTCCCCAGGCCTCTCTTCGTGCGGTGTTACAAGCCCTTTCTTCTCTCCCTTCTCCTCTCCACTCCATCCTCTTTACTTTACTATTTTCCCCTAATAATAATAATACAATCCCCTCAAGCGTCACCTACAGAACGGAGGGTTCCCCGCGTCATTTCTTCCTATAATCCCTCGCCAGCCTTTTTCCTTCAGCACTTTGCAGTATAATCGCACAAGTCATCATCCGCACTAGAGCGCCTCCATCGTTTAAACACTTGGCCATGGCGGACGACAAGGCCGTCGGCGCGCCCGCGCTCGACATGAATATAGAATCGGGCAACTTCGACGAGAAGCGTGCCCAGCCCCCTGCTGAGGCCGTCCCTCCCAAGAAGGATGCCTCCGCTGAAGATGAGGAAGAAGATGAGGACATTGACGCCTTGATCGAGGATCTCGAATCCGAGGATGGCCATGCCTTTGAAGAAGAAGAGGAAGAGACCAGTCCCAGCACTGGAGGACGTGTCGTCCCCGACGACATGCTCCAAACCGACAGCCGACTTGGTCTGACCGAGTCTGAGGTTGTCGCCCGCCGTCGCAAGTACGGTCTTAACCAAATGAAAGAAGAGAAGGAGAACTTGGTGCTCAAGTTCCTTGGCTTCTTTGTTGGTCCCATTCAATTCGTCATGGAGGTGAGTTTTTTTTTTTCTTTCTTCATTTGCCTGGTTCTATGCGCTCTATTGGCTGTTTTTCTCCGCTGCGACGATTTATCTCGCCGTCCTTCTGCCAACACTGCCACAATCCCTCCCGGCTTATCAAACCGTGTTCCTCCGACACGGGCTACCCTTCCCTCCAATGCCTTGTTTTTCGCTCTCCCGCGCTTGGCTCCGAGCTTAAGATTGCTGCTCCACACCAGCTGTGGTCGCTTTTTGCGCTCATTGGCCCAATTGGCTTGGTCGAGCTGTTTTCGGGCCATTTTGCCTGTGCTCCAAATATTATGATTGTGGGGGCAAGAATGCCGATCCACTCAATAAGATGTCATCCGCTCCACTCTTTTCCCTCCGCCCGTCGATCGCCGATACGCAAAAAAACACCTTAAAAGGTTGTTTACGAATACGTGTATTCATGTGCTGACTATTACGCGTTACAGGCTGCTGCTGTTCTGGCCGCCGGTCTCCAGGACTGGGTCGATTTCGGTGTCATTTGCGCTCTGCTCCTGCTCAACGCCTTTGTCGGTTTTATTCAGGAATTCCAAGCTGGTTCCATTGTCGAAGAACTCAAAAAGACTCTCGCTCTCAAGGCTGTCGTTCTCCGTGACGGTACCCTCAAGGAGATTGAGGCCCCCGAAGTTGTCCCTGGCGATATCCTGCAGGTTGAGGAGGGTACGATCATCCCCGCCGACGGTCGCATTGTCACTGAGGACGCTTTCCTCCAGGTCGATCAGTCCGCCATCACTGGCGAGTCTCTCGCTGTCGACAAGCACAAGGGCGACAACTGCTATGCTTCCTCTGCTGTCAAGCGTGGTGAGGCCTTTGTGGTCGTCACCGCCACTGGTGACAACACCTTTGTTGGTCGCGCCGCCGCTCTCGTTTCTCAGTCCGCTGGTGGCACTGGTCACTTCACCGAGGTTCTCAACGGCATTGGTACAATTCTCCTCATCTTGGTTGTTCTGACCCTGCTCGTTGTCTGGATTTCTTCATTCTACCGCTCCAATGGTATTGTCGATATTCTGCGCTTCACTCTGGCCATCACCATCGTTGGTGTCCCCGTCGGTCTGCCCGCTGTCGTCACCACCACCATGGCCGTCGGTGCTGCCTACCTCGCCAAGAAGCAGGCCATTGTCCAGAAGCTCTCCGCCATCGAGTCCCTGGCTGGTGTCGAGATCCTCTGCTCTGACAAGACCGGTACCTTGACCAAGAACAAGCTCTCTCTCTCCGAGCCCTACACCGTCCAGGGCGTTGACCCCGATGATCTCATGCTCACTGCTTGCTTGGCTGCTTCTCGCAAGAAGAAGGGTATCGACGCCATTGACAAGGCTTTCCTCAAGTCCCTCAAGTACTATCCCCGTGCCAAGAGCGTTCTGTCCAAGTACAAGGTCATCGAGTTCCACCCCTTTGACCCTGTCTCCAAGAAGGTTACCGCTGTTGTCGAGTCTCCCCAGGGCGAGCGCATCACCTGTGTCAAGGGTGCCCCTCTCTTCGTTCTCAAGACTGTTGAGGAGGACCACCCCATTCCCGAGGATATTGACAAGGACTACAAGAACTGTGTTGCCGAGTTTGCTACCCGTGGTTTCCGTTCTCTTGGTGTTGCCCGCAAGCGTGGTGAGGGTGCTTGGGAGATTCTCGGTATAATGCCTTGCTCTGACCCTCCTCGTCACGACACCGCCCGCACTATCAACGAAGCCAAGCAGCTTGGTCTGTCCATCAAGATGTTGACTGGTGATGCCGTCGGTATTGCTCGTGAAACTTCTCGTCAGCTCGGTCTCGGCACCAACGTTTACAACGCTGAGCGTCTCGGTCTCGGTGGCGGCGGTGACATGCCCGGTTCCGAGGTTTACGACTTTGTTGAGGCTGCTGATGGTTTCGCTGAAGTTTTCCCCCAGCACAAGTACGCCGTCGTCGAGATTCTCCAGCAGCGTGGTTACCTCGTTGCCATGACTGGTGACGGTGTCAACGATGCTCCCTCCCTGAAGAAGGCTGATACTGGTATTGCTGTTGAGGGTGCCTCTGATGCTGCTCGTTCCGCTGCCGATATTGTCTTCCTTGCTCCTGGTCTGGGTGCCATCATTGACGCTCTCAAGACCTCTCGTCAAATCTTCCACCGTATGTACGCCTACGTTGTCTACCGTATCGCTCTGTCCCTGCACATGGAAATCTTCCTGGGTCTCTGGATTGCCATCCTCAACCGCTCTTTGAACATTGAGCTGGTCGTCTTCATTGCCATCTTTGCCGATATCGCCACCCTGGCCATTGCCTACGATAACGCCCCTTACTCCCAGACTCCCGTCAAGTGGAACCTTCCCAAGCTCTGGGGTATGTCCGTTCTCCTCGGTGCCGTCCTTGCTGTCGGTACCTGGATTGCCCTTACCACCATGTACGCTGGTGGCCAGAACGGTGGTATCGTCCAGAACTTTGGTAACATTGACGAGGTCCTCTTCCTTGAGATTTCCCTCACTGAGAACTGGCTGATCTTCATCACCCGTGCCAACGGTCCTTTCTGGTCCTCCATCCCCTCATGGCAGCTCAGCGGTGCTATCCTGGTTGTCGACATCCTGGCCACCCTCTTCTGTGTCTTTGGTTGGTTCATTGGCGAGCAGACCAGCATTGTTGCTGTTGTCCGTGTCTGGATCTTCTCTTTCGGCATCTTCTCCATCATGGGTGGTCTCTACTACTTCCTCCAGGGAAGCTCAGGCTTCGACAACCTCATGCATGGCAAGTCCCCCAAGACGGACAAGAAGCAACGATCTCTGGAAGATTTTGGTAAGTTTATATCCACCTACTCTTTATTGCATGTAACACGATCGCTAACTCTTTATTACAGTCGTTTCCCTGCAGCGTGTCTCTACCCAGCACGAAAAGTCTCAGTAAATACAACTTATTACATACCCGCAGGCCTGTCGGCTTGCATGTTTCTTTTTTTTAAAGTTTTAAATGTACTGTACGAGTCGTATCTAGAGATGGACTCGTCTGAAGTGGGATGGGGGCAAACTTCATACCCTATGATGGTCTAATAGACAGCTAATGAAGACAAAGTAAAATAATGTCACCTTGATGTGTGCGATGAATTGATGTACTGTGGGCAAGTGTTTGTAAAGGGTTGTTTCTATGATTTGAGAGCTGTGAAGTTTATAGATTAATACACGGGTAGTTGACTGTGAACTAAACGATTAGGGTTTGAAGCGATGCCTAAACAGCTCGAATCTGCATGTGTATCTTCATGTCCTCTTGATTCCGTGGTGATTCGGCAGAGGAGAATCACGTGATACATTCCACTTTTTCGACTTTGGCAAGTCGCCTCACTCATGCGCTAGGAAAATAATACGAAACCTCTTTTGCAGCATCAATGTCATACCTTTTTCAAAAAACTCCGCAAAACTTTTGATTTGTATTCTCATTTATAAAGATAAATGCTGAATACTTTGCCTATTGCTTGTCAATTTGAAATTTTTTATTCCCGATCCATAAGATTCTCTGCCATAGATACTGGACGACGACGTCTTGGAGACTATGAGTGCTCGAGCTCCGGTAGAGATACCGGGCTATTATTATGGTGAGATGCCTTGCATTTCATCTTCGTAGTTTTACTACCATTTTCCCGAATTCCCCATCGGCTAACACTCCGGAACATAGATTCAGAGAAGAAGAAATATTTCAAGATTGAAAAATCCCAGACTGCGCCCTCTTCCGCCCAGTGGTCGTCTCAGTCTGTCAAGCGGCGCAAGGTTGAATCCCAAGTGGCTCAAGAAGCATCCAACAGGGCGCAGCTGGTCAAGAATCATATCAAGCGCAGTGTCTTGAGAAACGACATTGTCAACTCGGGGCTGTTTGCCCGTGAGACGGGCCACCAGAGGGCCGCTGAGTCTGGACGGGGGCGGGTTGAGGATGAAGATGTCGCGGCGGCAATGTGGGCTCGGGAGCTGACGGACAAGGGCCAGACTGCTTTTACGCCCAGCATGACTTGGAATACGTATCCTCATATTCCGTCATTCTATGTGAGCGGACAGGAGTGCGGTATTGATTCAGCTGTGGTATATGCCAGTGAGTTTTCTTGGCTGGTGATGGTTGATTGAGTTGGCTGTGGAAGCTAAACATGTGAACTTTTTAGCTCTTGATGAGCAGACGTTGATGGGGAAATACTTGGACACTGATGAAAATGAAAAGTGAGTGTCACTATCCTTTGTTATCTTACTTTTCTTGATAGATACATCGATGCTGACGATGGACATTAATAGCCTGGTAAATATACCAGCTAGTCAGCGGGATCCATCGAGGCTGCACCTAGAGATGGTTCACTGCCCACAGATGTCTTCCATCAAATACCACCAACCATCCCGCAAGCTTCTCTTCACCTCACGGGAACCCGGCCACGGACTTGCGTTGATTACATTCTCTCCTACGGTTGATATTGACCACAAGGGTAAACGACACTGGCTTCTTGCCAATAGTACGTCACGCACTCTCCCCTCGCATAACATGCGTTGCTTCTTGACATCATATGGTTTCCCATGTAATATTCGTGAAACTATCCGACTGACATTCAATCGACAGCTGATAGCTATTGTAAACTTCTATTCCAGGCTGCCAGAAATCCGCAATGGTATGTGCATCAGAGCACACCTGCACCAGCATCTTCCAACCTCCTCTGCGTTGTGGGCACCAGCAACGGCATTCTGCGCGTTCGTTCCGATGAAAGCATTGGTTGGCTCACTACCAATGACGTTCCGCCCAGCATCGACCCGACGACAAAGGTCGATAATGGCCGTAGGAACAGGCCGGGCAAGCGGGCAAGAGCGCGCCATGGCCCCTGGACCCCCCAGGAGATTTTCTCCCAAGACTTTCAAATCGGCAATCACAACGTGCTGTTTGCAGGCGGCCGACAGCCTCAGCTCTGGATTTCGGACCTCAGAGCACCGGCGGCCGGATGGGGCCACATTAAGCACAGCTCGTCCATTGCCCACGTCCGCAGCATCAACCCATACCAAGTGATTGTTGCAGGCCTGCAGAACCAAATGTCAATCTATGACACGCGCTTCTTCCAATCCGATAAGACTAATCCTCATGGCCGGACCATTTCCTCTCCACTACTTGACTTTCCTGACTATCGCAACGAAGCGAGGTATCATATTGGCTGGGATGTCTCTTCGGAGCTCAACCTCGTGGCTTCGGCACAAGATGACGGCACAGTCAAGCTCTTCTCCCTCAAATCGGGCCGTATTCTGCGTTCTGGAAGCGCTTTGGAGAAGCTTCGGGCCGAGAACCCCGTAAAGGCAATGATGTTTCAGACGCTGCCTGGGGAGAAGATGCCGAGCTTGTATGTGGCTAGGGGGCCTCTGAAGAAGTTTGGATGCGCGCCAATTGGCGCCTTTGATGAGTAATGGGGTGATGGGTCTTTTTTTTTTTTTTTTTTTTTTTGCATTGTTATAAAGGATTCACTGGGTTGTTTGTCTTTGGCGAACTTGTTGGTTGTTGTTACGGACTGCATATAGGTATGGAGTAATTGTCGGCTTTTAGGGACTAGGCATTTGTTTTCAGAGTATTCATATTAATTACTGCTGGAATATTAAATCCAAAGGCTGAGCGGATGTGACTACCGCTTGAACAGAAACAATTTGAGATTAAAGTCGATAGATTTGAAGAGATCATCCACTCCAAGTTGCTGGGCTTAGCAGCTAGGCTGACCGTATCCTTGGCTTGGGCCTTTTCACTTGTAAAGTTGTTTCAGCTTCACTTACGATGGCGTCGAATGCTTAAAGAAAGAAGAGTACTTGAAATCGCCTTGTCTATTGTATAGATCAATGTTGGAGATTTTCTCAATCTTCAGATGGCTAAAGCTTAGGCTCGGCATGCAGAGGGACACGCTGCTTGTAGGCACATACTTGTAAGACGTCTTATAACATCCCCCTTTTTCCATTTTCCTTATTATGGCAGCTATAGATGCCTAATCCAGACGACATTGCACTCAAGGGTTCAGGAGTATATACTAAATGCAGCACTGAGCTACGTCAACATCGTGAGAGTGTGGTTACATCAAAGATGACAGCTAACGGCATCGGGCACTTGCCTTGTGCCTTTCGGGGGCGCCGGCCGGGGGGTCTTGTGTACTAGACGATATGACGGAGAAAAGAAATCCAGCCTGTAAGAAATACTGCAACTTCTTTCAGTTACAATATTAGAACAATTTACGAGGGATGGTTGGGTTTACTATAATAACCAAAAACGCAGAAATGTACTATGACTCTTACAGTTAAATACGCTTTATAATAAGATATGCTCTTGCAATATACGCTCCTATACGCTCTAAGCGCCCTACCAGCCCTGCTAAACTCTTATCCGTTCTAAAACGTTTGCGGTAGGTGCCTTTTTCCCATCGGAGCCGGAGCAATTGTTGTGAGTTTAAACTAAAAATTTCCCGCGAAACTAAAAAAACTAATACCCTGCTCGCTCCAAGGATCAGCATCCCAAGCGGCAGCTAAGGAAGAAAAAGGAAGCTTACCTACACTTTTTTTTCTTCATCACTTTTATCTTTCTTCCGTTGCCAAGGAAAAAACTTTATTAACATGCTACAGATCGAATCACTGCTTTGTAAGTTTGAATATAGCCCTTGTACCTTTTTTGTAGTCTGCCAAGGCGTCTTCACAAGATAAAGTGTCCCCCGCCGATTAGGCAGTGCTACCTTATGTAGCAGTGACGCCCTTTTTGCTTCCTCCACCTACAAACATCCCCCCCCAAACTTTTCAACTTCAACTCCAAAAAACATCACCAGCATTTCACCAATTTAAAAAAACAAAAAAGCAAAAAAAAAAAAAAATGCCTCGCCGCGGCAAAGAACTCTCCCCAACGCTGCGCTCGCGCATCTGCGAGCTGCACAGCGTCGGCTACGGCTACAAGCGCATCCACCAGATGCATCCCGACGTGCCCGTCTCGACGATCCGCTACACGATCAAGAAGGAGGCCGACCGCCACGACAACAAGAGCATGTCGCGGCCGGGCCAGCCCAAGAAACTGACCGAGGAGCAGCGCCGGCAGATTTACGAGACGGTCACGAGCAGCAACCCAAACATCTCGAATAGCGAGCTGCTGGCGTCGGTGGGCAATGCGGTGAAGCTGCGGTCGCTGCAGTATGTGCTGCGGGAGATGCGCGTGCCCGTCAAGATTAATCAGTTTACCGACCGGATTGCCGAGCGCATTATATAACTTTTTTTTTTTATATATCTCTTCTTTTATCCTTTCTTCGTTTTTATTCGCTCCCTCTTTTTTGCAATGGTAATCCACCAGCAGCAACGAAATTCAGCGGACATTTTTACCCACGATTCTCCTTGCGAATACGAAAAGGGCTTTGCTACTTTGTAGCCTTGGCTCTTCATTTTCTAGCCGGCGTTTACGCTTTCAATGTTTTTTTTATCTTCTTTCCATCATCACATGTGCTTTTTTTTGCGGCTGGTTGATGGACTTGCTACGAAAAAATCTACTTGAGTGCTGGGTACGAGGGCTTTGGCCTGCGAGGTCACAAAAACAAAAAAGATTCTATGTTGAACGAATCTACGGAGTTGGAATCATGATTGTATGATGTAAATGAGGCATTAATAAACAGTTACATTAAACATGCTGCAATGCATGGAGTTCGTACCTATATATACTAGTAATATGTATGAGTGTGTATGATGCGCCAGTGCCATAATCGCCAATCTCACGAGAGGTCCACCCAAGTCTCTAAACCCAAATAAGCCGGATATACCTACTAGATTCGTAGCAAAAATCTAAGCCCAATATTCTTCCAGCCCTATCCTCCTTATTCCGCCTGCTTTCTGAATGCCTTGAATGAAAGACTTTATTCAGGGCCTGGCTGTTGATTCGTCCCGTCCCAAAACTTGCACGTGTCGACCAGCATGGGAAACGCCTCGGCAAACGCTCTCCCCACCTTCCAATTATCCAAGTTGCGCATATGGCTCTCAAACACCGGGTTAATCATAATCTCATCGCTATCCGGATTCCGCAGCAAAGTATGCGCCTCCTCATAAGGCCACGACATGGTAAAAGTGGATGTAAACGGGAGAAACCAATTGTCAAAGTAGAAAATCGACGGATCGTTGGCTAGAATGACCCTCTCTCTCATCTCTGGGTATGGCAGATAGTCCATCCACGCCGGGTGCGGTATGTTGATTTGACATGGCAGTGGGCGGATCCACTCCGGTAGGCGTTCGTAGTTTTCCTTTGTTGGCGATATCTGCCATCGCATGTAAATGAACATGAGGTAGAGAATGGTCACTTTTTCGGGCAGCCCGGAGATTTCGGGGAACTTGGTGATGATGTCTGTGAAGACCTTGGATACCGGATGGCTGTATTGGCTGTTGGCCGGGTTGAGCAGAGAAGATACAGATGGGTACCGAGGGCCGGTTACTTCGTTTTGCTCGTAGCCCTCTGCGGCGCGCTGCTGGCGTTCGCTGCGAAAGTCAAGAAGCAGAGCGTCTAGTGGACAGGTAGGCTCGCAGTTTCTCAGAGGCCGCGCCCATATAGGGAGAGATTCTGCAATATTAGCAGCTTGTGCGTCAGGAAATGGAACTGGTGGGATAGTCGGAGCGATGCCGTCGAGGCCCGGTCCAGAGCTGGGCACTGGCTGACTCGTAACCGCTTTCGGCAGTATTCCAGAAGCTGGATCGGAACCGGGCGAGGGAATAGCAATTGGCGAATCCCATGCCGGCCGCGCATTTTCTTGGTTCACTTGCGTCCAGTCATGCTTCATAGCCACGTGGTGGAATTCACCGCTATCTTGCGCCCCGTCTCGGCCTCTCTGAAGCCTCGGAATAGCCTGGATAGGGTCAAGCACAACGTTGAAATCGAATCGTCCGGATCCAAAATCTAACCCATGCCGAAGGTAGTGGCCCTGCTGCTCAAGCATAAGCCGTGTGCCCTCGTCAACGGCCCCAGCAAGGCCAGTTCGACGCGGTGGCGGCGATGAGCTGCTACCAGTACTTGACCAGCTCTGTAGAGCCGGTTGAGCGGCTTGGCGCTGTGGATCGACCACTCCTCCCGCTGGAGCTGCGGGATGAAAAGGGACGCTGCTCGTGATTGGAGCAGCTGTAGGTGCTGTAGGTGCCGCAGCGGATGGGAGCGTAGATGGCACACCGAGATCACCTGCCTTTGTTAGAACTCGTCGAATAAATGTACACAAATGTGTTGATGGCAATGAAGGCTAGAGCTTACCTGTACCAACTATGGGCTGCAGCATGGTGATGATGGTGGCGAGCCGCCTCTTGATTTCGGCATTTTCGGCCTCTATTGCCTCTTTGGCACGCACCACGACTTGGAGATCCTGGTAGGGCTTTTGGCTTTCAAGCTCATGTATACGCTTCTCGAGCCGTTCAATCTGATTCTTAGTCCGTTCTCGAATGGCCCGTTGCGCTTCACGGTCTGCATGACGAGAAGGAGATCAGTTTCGTTAGTGATATGTGACACAGCAGTTGGGTAAAGATGTAAGTGTAAAGATGTATAAAACAAGCTGGTAGATGCACGAGTCATATGATCAAACGCGTACATATACAGGTGCAGGAGTTCCAAAAGTGGCATGTAGTAATAATACGAAAAGAAACATTCCGTAATAGGCAAAGAGCCCGAGATGTGAGGAGGAGAGATGCAGCAAAACACTCACCGTTTGCCCTCTTCTTGGCCAGTTGTTCCGGCGTCAAGTTTGCAACACCTCTGCTTCCCGAGCCGGTCTTCCTCTTCTTGGTCACATTCTCTACCTCGTCTGTTTCCGTCGTCTCCATGGGCTCAGAAGCCCCTGCCGCCGCCGTGCCATTGAGAGTCACCGCTGTGGATGATGCCAGAGGTGATGCGGTGGCCGAAGACTCGGGCTTGATGGCTTCAACGGCGTTGGGGCTGCCGCTCTCGAGCGAGTCTCCTACTACGGGACTTGACCTGCCCCGTCTAGCGGATCTGGTGTCCATTAGGAATAGGTGGTGATACTATTTGGGTAACAGCTAAACGACGGGCCGGCCAACCATGCTCCACGTCCGCCAAAGGGCCGGAGCCTGTCCCGGACCCGAGGACGAGGACCCGGGCTTCGGGGTCCGATATACCGGTGCCGGCACCTGCGAGTGGGTGTCGATATAAGTGTGTTAGTGGTGTAGTGGTATCATTGGCGAGCCAAGCGATGCGTCGCAAGGCTGAATGAGCCGATCGAGATGCGCCAAGTGATTGCGCCGCCAGATGCTCCACCCCCAGCGTCGCTCATCCAACGAGTCCGGCCTGGATGCTGCTCTAGCCTCAGCTCCGGCTGCAGCGACAAAGGCAAATCCAAATCTGGCTGCGTGTACTTGGGCCTCGTACTCTGTGCAATGGCATGCCGGCAAGGGGCGTCGCGAGACAGACGGGCTTTGCTTGCATGGGGCTGGTTGGTGGAGATGGAGCGTGGTTGGTCTCCTGGCCTTCCGGCTGGCCTATGAACAGCCGCTTGCTGAATCAGGTGGGCGGGTGGCCAGAGCCAAGTTGCGAGTCAGGAAGGGCGCTAGCGGCTGGCTCAGGCTCTGGCTGCGGCTGGCACGTGCCGTTGAGCTAGCTGGTGCTAGAGTACGAAGGATTGAATCCTACTGCATGGCTTGGCCTGTTTTCTTTCTTTAAGGGAGAAGTTATCCAGCACCCTAATTTCATTATCCAACACCCCAACTGTAGCATAATAGGGCAGCTAGTTTATATATTAAATATACAGCTGCCAAATACTTATTAAAATAGCAACAGTAGCAGCAGTAGCAGCAGTAGTAGCAGTAGTAGCAGTAGTAGCAGTAGTAGCAGTAGTAGTATAGCAGCAGCAGCAGCCTAAGCTACAGCTGGAGTGCTAAATAACATAATCGGGGTGCTAGATAACCTCTCTTTATTTTTGGGGGGTTGGATAACAGAACTGGGGTGCTGGATAATAGCTCTTATTTAAGTGGTAGGTGAAAATTGATGTATCGTCTCGGATTGTATGTATCCGATTATAATATCTAAACAGTTTCAAAGCGAAGAATACAGGTAAACGTAGCCTGCATAGGTCAAAATAAAGATGGTGTGTTGAATTAAACCATTTATCGATGATATAGTACCGACATTTCTTTTACTTTAGTCTATCAGAGCCATCGATTCTGCATAAGCGTAATAGACAAGCGTAAAACTCAGTTAAAGCTGTTTATATCTGATATTACGTACGATTCGCTTTTTAATGCCACAAGGCGCACAGCGTCATATATAACGTGCATGCTGAGATATTCCGCAAGCTATATGTAGATAGCGTATTAGTAAAACATCTGTTTGCAGACATGTTGCGTATGCACACGTACCTGCTCAATATCTTTCCAAAACTCTTTTTTGGTTTCTCGTGCAATTTCCATGTCTCCTTCAACTATACCATCAAGAAAGGACATTGGGAGGTCACGAATCCCTGCTCTTTCTACGGCATATTTGTTCCACGCAAGAGTCTTCTTGATGATCTTGGCCGAGACCTTGAAGGAGGTAAGTTCAATGCCTGATCTAGAAAAGTTTCTGTCAAGGTCAATACATACACAAGGAACAAAAACCGTGCTAGGCCATTTGTTATAGGAATTCAGAAAATTTCGGATGAATGCTGATCCCCCAAACGCATCATAAGAATCGCAAGCTAATGGTCGTGAAATCGAGTCAGTGTGAAACATTTACACAGAGTAGCCGTCACTCACCGATGTCTACGGGCACACCGTCTCGACCCCAGAATCTAATTGAGCTGGGCCGCTCATTGATTAGTGAAACATTTGCTGGTAACCCTGGGTCTGAGTCTGTGCCAGCGCCGAACAATTTTCCACCTCGGCGATGCAGTAGGTTGGCCATAGACCAATTTCCCATAGAGACGGCCCAGTAGAATGGCGTTCTGCAACACTTGTCCACAGCGTTGACGGCGCTACCATCATCTTGTAGCAGAATTTCCACAACATCGTCATACCCCCTTTGTGCAGCTTGGATGAGCGCTGCAGCACCTACTGAATGGTCTCCTGAAGGGCCGTTCATGCATTCAGCGGAAAGATCGGCTCCATGTTCGAGGAGCATTTTTGTCATATCCGAGTTCCCAGTCGTAGCGGCCACTATCAATGGAGCCAAGACATTGTCAGATTGATGGTAATTTAGTGCTCCCTCGTAGCGAGCGCAAGCACCTGCCTTGGGGTTGATTATGGCGCCAAAGTTGTCATCCCGTAAGAGGTCTGCGGCTACTCTCATTCTCTGGTAGATCGCCAAACCTAAAGAGGATACTCGCTCCAGAGGCCAATAGAAACCGATGGTCTCTTTGGCCCCTCTTTGCAGTAATTCTTTGGATGTCCCTTCATGCCTGAGCAATAGTGCAAACCATAGAGCATTTTCCCCAGCGCTCGTCGTAGCATTTATATCGTGGCCCTTGTTTAGGCAGACGTCGATCATACTAGTCAGCCCAAAATAAGCAACGAAATGCAGCATCGTCATTTCTTTTACGTTTACGGCGTTCATTCCCCTCAATAGCCATTGATCGATCATAACGCTTGGCTCGTTCTCTAGAAAGGCCGTAGTTATCTGAATCACGCTATCGGGAAGACTCATCTCGTTGAAGCCTTCGCGCCAATGGTGAGCCCAGTGTTGTATAGTATATTCAAGAAATGGGAGTGTGTGTAGAGATCTCAATTTTCTCCGGTTGTTCTGTCTTATTGAAATCTGAACGGCTTCAGACGAAAGATATTTGATGCATATCTTAGTGATGTCTTGGTGTACTTCCCGTACAGCACATTTGGAAGACTTTGGAGGCGGAAGACAAGTCTCTACAGTCTCTAAGTCTTCTAAGCTCCATAGGCAGGTCAAGTTTTGTCGCAAGTATTCGAGGGCTGTGTGATGAAGCAGTCGAATGATGCCGCTTTCCCTCTCGACTATCACTAGCCCCATGCAAACTTTGATCACGAAATTGGTACTTTCGAGATCTTCATCGGTGGGTAACGAGCTGCTATCACCTCTGATCGCCAAAGCGTGACGGAGTTCCAGGGTTTTGATTTCTCTCGCAGCACAAGCGAGCCACCTGAGAGTACGCCTTGCCAGTTGTTGATGCTCACTTGGCTGGCCACGAATTCGGAGAATGGTTTTCTCGTATGCCTGTTTATATGCGTCTGGGCCTCTGGGGAGGCCTTCCAGCGTCTTTCTGATCTGGGCAAGGGTCGTTTTTGCCAGGAGTGAATCAACGTGAAACTTCGCAAGGAGAAAGCTGGAATTGTCAGTAGCCGAGTTGTGAATAGTGGCACTAGTCAACTTACATTCCATCAATCGCACTGCTTATTTTCGTTGCAATTTGATTTTTGGCGTGGATCCTAAGCTCTTCGGGTATATCGTCATTTTCATCGCTCAGAACTGTAAACTCTGGTAGGCGGCCTTGAATATAATTCTCCACGTCCTCAGTGAGTGCAGAAATCTCAAGGAAAAGCCCACCCTTAAATCTTTTTTCAACACTCGTGCTCGGCCGAGTGGTAGCAAAAAGTTTTGCTTCTGTATTGTCCAAGACTGTGAAAATACTTTTCAAAAAGCCGTCGCCATCTTGACATTCATCTAATGCGTCAATGACGATGAAGGTTTTCGTAGATTTGTTGCCTATCAAATATTTAAGGGCTTTGGAAAACTCCTCAATATCCTTGTCTGAACGCGAAGAAGCCGGTATGGTACTGTATTTCTTTTGGAGGTCTTCGATGGCAGTGGGTAGAGGAAGCTCGTCTCGAACCAGCTGCTTGATAAGACTCGCAAAGATGTCGATAGTTCTCTGGCTTTCTTTCCTGATAAAGTCAAAATATATGAAAGCCAAGCTCACTTTACCACCCGCTGAGACATCGCGAAAGGGCTGCCAGTGTTGAAGATGCTCGACAACAGCGGATGTAAGGACTGTTTTACCTGCTCCTGGGTTCCCCTGGCAGAGCAGAGTTTTCTCCTTTCCGTTTAAAAACTGTTGAAAATTTGGATGTTCTAAAAACCATTTTCCTGAATCTGGACTTCTTTTACTGAGATGCTCGTGATGTTGTGCATCATAATTAACTGGCGTAAGCCATTCGAGAAAATCGTTTCGAGCATGTCGCTCCTGGTGTTGATCAATCTTTTTCACGACTTCAGATATTTCAACGATTTTACCGGCAATAACTAAGAAAACCATTTGTTAATATTGATATCTAATCATGGCTCAATAGGGCCTAGCTAGCAACACTGGCTCTCGCGCCAGCTCTCCAGAGCTGCTGACTGGCCATCCATCGTGCGATTGCCTATCTTCAATTCCCAAAGGCTGAGTTTTCTCACGGGGATTGATACTGATGGAATAATAATTGGAGGAATGAAGCTCCTTACTTTTGATACTTTCCATCTGCTCCACATCAGATGCAGGAATTATCGAGAGAAGCTCTTTTGCAAAGGCTGCAGCCGTGGCTGCTGCGAATCCTTGCCAGTCGTCGTTCTTATAAGAGTCTGCATAGTCGCATATGCCTCGAATAACAAGACAAGGGAAGTTATCCATCAGCCCTGCTGCTTCCATCTCCACACACAGAACATGATGGTTGAGATTGCCAGTTATCGTATCTCGTAGAGTGGCATCTTTGATAACCTTGTTTCCAGAGGCAATAAGGCCGTAGTGAACCTTGACACCGTCTCTCGGCTCTCGGTCAATAACTTTTGTGATATCGTCTGATGCAAAGAGGACGTCCTCCATTGAATCAAGCCGGCTGTATTTCTGTTTTAGGTTTTCCCATTTTTTTATCATCTGGTCAACATATTTCTCTATTTTGGAGCCTTTCATTTCATGTCGTGTCTCCAAGCGTTGCAGTGCTGCCAGTAAGATATTTGGAGGGTTATTCAGCGACCCAATCCGCTCGAAGCCGCCACCCTCTATTGCTTTACCTAAATCTAATTGAACAACGCCAGGAAACATGCTTGTTGGTGTACTGACGACAACATCTCCCAGTCGAATATCGTGGTCTTTGGTAGGGATGCCCCCTCCAACGCCAATCATCAACCCGAATTTGATGGATGAAAAAGACTCGAGCATCTGCGTCGCCACAACTGCTGCGGACGTGGTCCCCTGCTTGCCTTTTGGTAGGCAAGCAATAACAATATTGTGCTTTCCAATGGAACCAAGCGTATAGACGTTTTTATCCCCGGGTGGGTTGCTGGGCAGCTCATGCTCTGAGTCTAGCATGGCTGTTGCTGCCGTCAATTCTGTTGAGAGCGCGCACACCCATCCGATTGTGTATTCATTACGCGGGAGGGCAGGAGTGGTGGATGCCTCAGAGTCAGACATTTTCTTTTAAAAAAAATAATGTATAAGTTGCTATTTGGATGGTAAAGAAGTGTCTTCCGCAAAGAAGTAAGAACAAGAGAGAGAAGGAAGCTGGATTGAACCTGATGCTATTTATCGCTGGGAAGGCTTGAGTTTTTGCAGCCTGATTGTTACCTGAAAAAGAAGAGCAAGGCTTTATGCCAGCCTAACTGCGGGGAAATCAGGCTCTTCACATGATATGCAAAGTATATGCAGACAAAATTTGCTCACCGAAGTGAACGCCAATACGAATCAGGCTGCGCAAGAATCAGGCTGCGCAAGAATCAGGCTGCGCAGTCGTTGCCAAATTGAGCATGTGTAGATCTAGGTACCTACTAGTAGTATATCAACAAACGAACAAAATGCATCAGAAAAGTTTCCCAAAGTGGCAGCATCAAGCGGGTATAACTTGGAATCTATGGACATAGAGATCTCGAATCAACATATATGTAGGCTGCTACTACTTCTACTACTTCTACTACTTCTACTACTTCTACTACTTCTACTACTTCTACTACTTCTACTACTTCTACTACTTCTACTACTTCTACTACTTCTACTACTTCTACTACTTCTACTACTTCTACTACTTCTACTACTTCTACTACTTCTACTACTTCTACTACTTCTACTACTTCTACTACTTCTACTACTTCTACTACTTCTACTACTTCTACTACTTCTACTACTTCTGCTACTTCTGCTACTACTTCTACTACTTCTACTACTGCTACCATTTCTTAGTGTACTCGGCAGCAGAGTTGAGTATTTTTAAGTGTGTCTGCCGTCTGGGGTCTTGGACTACAGAACTGGTGTGCTGAGTACATGAAACTATCCCTTATCCCTTATTACAATGGCAGCGCTTTTATCGTCATAGTTAAGCAGTACCGCTGGTTTCCCTCATTCTCATCAAATAGGTAAACATAAAATATTTCAAGGACGTTTAGTAACGTAGATACAAGATAGTAGTCCTACATGCAGATTAAAGAGGCACCAAGTCAAACATAGGATTCGAGGGGCTGTAGAATAATTTGCTTTGACTTACCCCAGCTTAAGGGTCTCAAAAGTCTATCAGAGTGCGTGCTAGTTATAACATTTGATATAGCAACTAGATAGTCAACTATCTCTGGAGCCTCACTTTCGCTCCAGGGGCAAATGCGTAATTTCGCGTAGAAACAAGGGCAAACCGTAAACCTGTGCAAAGGAAAATCTTTGCAAATGGAGCTTTTTTGGACATTCAAAAGTAGTGGTAATCCATACAAGTTCAACTCAAAAGAGTCCATCTTCAATTACGATAAGTACCTAGCGTGAATAGATCCAGACTGTTTGTTCCCATTAATAATCCCCCAAACCCCTTCATACATCCATCTCATGCCCACAGCTCACTCGGTCTGCCCAATCATAAGTGTATCAAACAAAAGTCATCATCAGTCTCTTCTCTCTCGTTTATGTTTCTCCATCTATCTGTCCCCTCCCATCATTTACTCTGCAGATGCCCTCGCCAACGCCTCATGCAGGTGCGGCGGGAACCTGTACCGCAGTTGACTCGTGTACGTCGTCAAATCCAAAATCATCTGCTTCAGCTGCTCTACCATCATCTTCCTGGTGCCCTCGTTGCCGCTGAACTGGCCATTGACCAGCTGCTCTCTCTGCCTGACGCAGCTGATGATGGTCCACATAATCAGGTTAGGCACATTGATAGAGACCGGCTGTGAGAGGCTAGAGAATTTGGAAGCGTAGGCTCGGATTGTGCTGGCATCGCCGCCGGCCTCGAGAGGGAGAATGTCCAAGCCACGGATTTTCTAGTGAAGAACAAATGTTAGCATTGACCTTCAAAAAAATACTTTCGTATATATAACACTGCAATTTGGAAACTTACGTCAAGACATTGAGCCCACTGGCTAGCCTCCACCAAGCTCTTAATGCTACTCATCTCAAGCAAAACGCGGCAAGCAACCTTGTTCTGGTCCTGAATGTTGCGGTAGAACATTGCGTCGCGCTCATACATGGTCATCATCGTCTTGGCCAACTCAACAGGGTCATCGATGGCCGCTAAGCTAAGGCTGCCGCCTTGCTCTGACTCCTGGTTGTTGCCACCCCTTGGCTTAACGGGCAAGAGACGCATTGGGTCCTCTCCAATCTCCAGGGAGATGGCCTCACTGAGAGCACGGCTGACAATGGCCACGACTGCGTCATACTCGCCGGCAAGGTGATAGAGCAGTACTGAGTCAGTGATTCGACCATTCTCATCAGCAAAGCTGGCGGCTTGTAGAGTGACGGTATTGACAAAGTCATCCTGACCATCGAGGCCAATTAGCGGGCCACGGCCCTCAATAACACCCAGGATGCGACGGCCGTCAGGCCGAATATCTCCAATGAGCTTGCTGAACTCTCGTGTCTCCAGCACCAGTTCTCGCAATGCCTCGTGGCAAAGGCCGCTATGACGCTCTCCAGCTTCTCCACCAAGATCTGCGTTTAGGCAGATCAATGTGAGATAATCAACCGCAGAGACAGCATCAGCAGCTCGGAAATCTCGAGTATAGTAGCCGATCATGGGGCCAAAGTTGATTTGTGGAAGACCCTTGATGCTGTGTGTGCGCAAGTCGTTGGAGGCAGATATCGGGTCACTGGGGCGAAGCAGGCCGTAAAACTCAAGAGCTAAACCAAAGTGAACTGCGTCGACATAGGAAAATGGGTAGAGATAGGAAACAGCGTCCTCAAACATGCCAGATAGGATCTGCAGGTAAAAGTACATGCCACAGCTGCCGTTGTTATCGTCAGAGGTAGTCTTGGGGAAGTGCTTCTGGCCAATCTCCTTGATGCTATTTTGAAGATCCGCCAGTCCGTACGATTCCCCGGCCATCTCCAGTGCCTTGTCGCCCTCTCTGGCCAAGTTGAACTGCAGCCAAATCCAGTCGTTAATGTCGGTGTTGAGGCCATCTAGATTTCGGTTATTCAGCTCAATTCGACCAATGACCTTGTAACAGGCCATGCGGAAGGGGTCGATTGTGTTCTCTGGGGCGTTGCGGGATCGTTGGATGTATTCGTTCGTACAGCGGTCGAGAAGCTTCCTGTTAGTGATTCTGCGATCTTCACTGGCAGCATAGTTGTTGAGGTATGTCGAAAACGTGCGATCGATTCCTCGGAAGTGGTTGCTATTGTCGTTGACATACTTGGCAGCATCGTTTACATGACCAGATCGGATCAGATAGAAAACAGTGGCCCAAACATACTCGCCATGGATTTGCTGAAGCTCAGTGTTGTCCGGAACCAAATCCTTTCTAGCTGATCGCAAGCGGATGTATGCCTTGATCTTACTAGTGATGTCAGGCAGACCACCCAGCTTGGCCTCGTGAGGATGCTTGGCAATGAGAGACTCCACCTCACGCAAGAACTGCTTCTCGAGGAAAGCATTGGCGCCGCTCAAGATGCGCTTCCTCATTTCAATTGAAAGCTGAGAGTTGGGGTTTTCATCCAGATACATCTCGGCGAACTGGCGCTCCTTGGCCGTGTTGCCGCTAAGCGACGTCTCGGCATCGGCATCTTCACCAACAATCTCAATCATGGCGCGGTATGCCTCCACAATGTGAGGTGCATGGGGCTCGTGGGACTTTTGCTCAATTTCTGCCAGTTCGGCCAAGATGGGGTAAGGGCGGCCAACCAAACGTGAAGCGTTGAGGCTGCGAACTTTCTCAGCCAGCTTCGACTGTCGTTCACGGAGGGCCTGATCTTCATTTCTTGATTTGCTAGCGCCGTCAGTAGCTCGTTCGACATCGGCGAATTCAGATTGATGAGCCCCAATCCTTGATCGCGCTCCGATAACTGATCGCTGGAAAGTCGAGGTACCAAACGTGCTGCTACGAGCATCGCGTGGAGTGCTCCCTTGAGTCTTTCCGCGTCGAGACTTTCCAAATCCGCCTTGAGACTCGCGACCTGCCGTTACTGACGTCTCTCTGGGCTTGATGCCGAAATGGTGGTAGATACGCTTTCGCTGCGCATCCCACTCCATAGCCACATTATCTTCCAGAAAGTTATCGAAATCGCGTAATGACCGCTCCAGGCCATCCTGAATCATGCTGAGGGTCGTTTTCGTCTGCAGGTTCGACAAGTAGGTTTCGACATCGACATCAGCCGGAGGATAGCCATGTGTTGGTCGTTCGGTTCGTGCACCTTGAATATCGAGCAGGCCGAGGTCCTTGGCCGCAGTACTAGGATCCACGCCCGAAGCGGCAAGAAGATAGTGAGCCTTTCCATCCGCTCTTTCGGTCTGTTTCGATTGTAGTTTTCTCAACCGATGGCGCAAGTCGCCCAAGCCCAGCTCCAGACTAGGGAGATCTTCCATGTTTGCATTAACGACGCCGGCCTTTTGGGTCTTCGCAAAGAGGCTGTCGAAGTAGGCGCCTGCGGGCTGGGCTGCCGCGCTCGTCGTGTTGTTGTTCTGGGCAGTCAGCGCCTGGCCGCCCAAAAGGCCGCCCGTCAAAGGCAAGGCTGTGCTCTGCTGAGCCGGGGCAGCCATTGTAGCCCCAAACAGAGAAGGCTTCGCGGCTGTAGTGCCACCACCAAGCCCGGTCAGTGCTGAGCCGCCGAACAGCGAAGGCTTTGGCTGCTGCGCGACCGCATTCTGGGTGTTTCCAAACAGGCCACCACCGGGTGTAGGAGTCTGCTGGTTCTGAGTCGTCGCTGCCTGTCCAAAAAGGCCGCCCGTGGTGGCCTGTGGTGTAGCTGTCGTGGCTGCTCCGAACAGACCTCCGCCAGTCTGTGGTGTCGCTGTTGTTGCTGCTCCGAAAAGACCCCCAGGCTTCTGTTGCTGTTGCTGCTGCCCGCCGCCAAAAAGCCCGCCGCCACCACCACCGCCACCAAACAGTCCACCTCCTCCACCTGTCGTTGTGGTGTTGCTCTGGGCCTGTTGTTGTTGCTGCGCGGGCTGGCCAAACAGCGATGAGCCGGTCGTCTGTCCGCCGAAAAGAGACATCGCGACGGCCTATCGAAGAAATATCAACTAGACAGTTAATGGAAAGATGAAGCGAAGAAAATAAGAGCCACAGGGACTAGAAGGGATAAAAAAGAGAGGCACCGCGCGCAGGCAATGGAAAGGCAGAGGTGCTCTCGCGTTCTTTTCAAGGTGGGCAGACGCGCAGCTAGCTTCCCAGGTTTAGAATTTTGGCACCTGAATTGGCGAGGCTGAGGACCTGGCTAGGCAACAGATAGCTCGGGCCAATCAGAAGCGCTAAAACTGACACGGCTGAAGGGCGACCACCAATCAGCGATCGATTCACTCTTATGATTGCTTCAGTCTATTGACAGATGTGATTCCATTAAACTTGCCCAAATTAGATTATTTATCGCTATTATGTGGAAGCCTTCGGAATATACCGCCGTAGGATATCTAGACTCATCGAAGCGCGCGTTGAATATCACTAGGAGGCAAGATTTTCTATGGGCAAAAATTTCGCTGTCTTTGTTTTCCTTTCTATCGAAAAGTAAATGCATAATCTCATTACATTACAAAGCCCAAAATCGCTTCCTTTCAAAGGCCAATTCTATTCCAAAACATGTTTTCATCCTCTATCAGTTCGTCACGCTTGCTTCATAGTGAATTTACTCGTCAAACAAGGCGCCCCACTTCTCGACAGCGCCGTCAATCTTCTTTCTGTACTGTTGCTGTGTGTTGCACATGTCGAGGAAAACCTCGTACTTTGCGTCCAGCAGCAGCTTCTCGCCGGAGTCAGTGCCGGGCTGGACCAACCGACCGGGCTTGCTCATCCGGTCCATAATGTTCCACAGCGTCTCGGGCTCTGAGCCATCGGTGACGTTATGGCTGGCTGCCTTTGCGCCCAACATGGCAGCTCCGTGAACGACTGCCGCGTTGACGTACTTGGGAATCAAGACTGGCATGTTGCATGCTGTGGCTAGGAGGTTCATCAGAATTGGATTCTGGCACTGTGAGCCAGACATGAAGATGGAAGAAATCTCATGGCCGGCCTTGTTCATTTGCTCAATGATCTGGCGAGTCTGCATGGCAATGAACTCCATGGTGGCGTAGTACCACAGGGCCATGTTATCGGTGCTCTTGTCGCTGTCGAGACCGATCATGGTGCCTTTCATGTTGGCATCTGCAATTGGCGAGCGGTTGCCCCACAGATCACCGTAGAAGAAGTAGTGGCGCGCAAGGTAAGAGACGGCCGGAGCATTATGCTTCTCTGCCATGTATTCAAGGTGGGCGTTGAGGAAGTCGTAAATGTGCTTGTCTTCGGCCTTGGCCAGAGCCATGGTCTCGTTGTACGCCGGGTGGACATCCAGCATGTGCCGCAGCAGCTCTCCTGTTGCTGACTGACCACCCTCTGCCATCCAGAACTCGGGAATCAGCACATCTCGGTAAGGACCCCAGACACCAGGAACAAAGACTGGATTTCTAGACATGGCCAAGTGGCATGTTGATGTGCCTGCGACGGCAGCCAAACGAGTAAAGGCCTGGCTAACGTCGTTCTTGGGAACATCAGCCTTGAGCTCCTCTTCAGTCAGCTCGACCTTGGCACCAACTGTGCCAATCCAGCCTGCGTAGGCATCAATGACACCACTTCCGACGGCAATGCCCTCTGGTAAGCCGAGCTGAGAGGCGGCCAGGCGGCTGAGTGTGCCTACGCACTCGCCAGCGCTGGCAAACTTTCCGCTCTATAAGCAATGATAGTTAGCTAGTGTTCAAAATTGAATGGAAATTGCTGCATGCAAAGGGTAGAATGCAGCAGAAAGGAATTTAGACGCAAAAGAAAATAGGCTCACCACCCCGTCGACGCCACCCATGAGCTTGAAGTCATCTTTGACCAAGTCACCGAGGCCAATTTCGTGGTAAAAGTCCTCTTGCCAGCCTTTAACACTGCCATCTACACCCACAGGGACGAAGCCCTGCTTGCAAACTGTGCTGCAAAAGCTGCGCGTTTCATTACCCGTAGCCAGGTGAGTAAGAGCATCTGCCAAATCGTAGAACTTGCAGCGAGCAAACAGCTCGGGAGGCATGTTGTTCTTGAGCCACAGAACCTTGGGAATTTCCATCTCAATGCTCATCTTGCCGCCAACATATTTGAGGAGCTTATGGTTGGTGGCATTGATCTTTTCCGTCTCCTCGACCGGACGGTGGTCTAGCCAAAGAATGACGTTGCGATCATTGCCATCGTTGGAGAAGTCGGGGCCGGTAACGGGAATAGGCTCGTCGGTGTCGTTGGAGAAGACGGACAGGGAGCAGGTGGCGTCGAAGCCAATGCCCTTGATTTGGTTGGGGTTGACGAGAGATTCTTGCACAACTCGGCGCACGCATTCGCAGATGCAGCGCCAGATGTCTGTTGTGGATTGTTCCTGGGGAAGACGTCAGAATTGAGCGGCATGTAAGCAGGGCTTAGCAATCGGGAATGCGCACATAGTAGCCGTTCTCGGGCTGCCACAGCTTGATGTTCTCTGCGGCCAAAGCCTTGATGTCACCGGTCTCGTCGATGATGCAGGCGCGGGCAGAGCCGGTGCCGACATCAATGCCGATGTAGTGGTCCTGCAATTGAATTGAAATTAGCCTTGGAACGTCCCATCTCATCTATTTTGTGGTGAAGGCTTCGTCTCTGACGATTCCGTCATAGGCTGTGCCGCAGAGGTGTTGGACTGGCGCATTGGAATGGGGGTAGCTACCTGGACATTTGGAGGCCTATCCATTGCGTAAGAAGAGCAATTAGCAAAATAATGTACACTCACGAATTGGATAAAATTAACGGAGGGTGCGGAAGAGTTTAAATAGCTTGCATGGAAATACAAAGAAAAGCAGACACTCACTCCATGGCCTTGATGGGCTTATTGTACGCGTACATGGCGATGTCCGGTTTCGTTGCTTTCTTGGTTCCCGAGCAAGCCCTCTGGGCCTTTTCCCCGCTGATTATGGTGGCTCGATGGATTCGGATCTGGAAGCAGCCACGAACTAAGTCAGGCTGGTGGTGGTGAGACAAAAGAGTATAGCAGAAGCAAGATGGTGGTTTGTATCCGAGGGGTTCGGGAAGCAAGAGGAGGGCCTGGATATAGACAGAGAGGCGCAACGACGGCCCCTCCACCGCCTTGACGGGCAAAAGACCTAGGGGCGTGCGGCAGCGGCCATTGGCCCCTACAACTTGCCAGATTGGAGAGACGCCCCCCAATTGAAGTTCTCGAGGCCCTTTCGAGCCAATTGGAGCCGATCAGTCGGCTGTTCGCTGCGCATGTCGGTGGTCGCGGAACGACGATAAGTCGCTGGATTGGGGCTATCAGACGGAGAGACCCAGCGCAGGCTCCAGCATTTCCAGCATTGCGGGGGGCGTCTCTGTAGCTGCCCGCTATTACAGCGCCGGCAAGGCCACTAAAACTTACATGTACCCCATTGCCCCGCTACCAAGACCCTGTTTTGCCCCTCAACTCCAGCGCTTGGGCGCTACAGACCTGGATAATGTGTGCTAACACAGCAATCGATCAACGAGCAGTGACATTGCCGATCACCTTGCCACTTGAATCGCGGATCAATCTCATGAACAAGTTGGTTTACAAGAATAAAAAAAGAAAAGGGTAAAAAACTGGTCCTGGCATCATCAATGATCTCATTGTGGAAACTCACAATCATCTACCGAAACCGAACTCTACCGAAGAAAAAAAAAAGAGATTCGATCCAAAGATGCAGAAAACATTTCGAAGCAAGCACCCACTTTTGAGGAAAACTTCTTCCCGTCAGCAGGACCTTCACGATAGTTTCCTTTCGCTGTTTTTTCTCCTAACTTGCTGCCTAGAGTTGATCCTCTATTCTCCTCACTCGCGTCCTCCGCTTTTCTGGGGCCGCAACCTATCAAGTGCCGGTTGCCAGCCCGTTGTGGCGTTTAAGAGAAACTGATACTGAGGAGAATGAAGTTGTCGTCGCGTAATTTAATTTCATTAATCTCAGGCCAGATTATTCCCGTGCGAGGCCATCCCACGCCGGAGCCAAATGTACGAGCTCCGATTGCGGTGGGATGGCGGGATGGCGTTTCTGGAAGTTGGCAGAAGACCACAATCAACCGACGGTTTTTGGCCCATGGGTATACCAAACAGACAACGGTCTCTCATTCAGGTGGTAGAAGAACGGGATCTGTATGGCCAGCGTTTCAAGACATTCATCAGATACCCTCCTCTTATGACACGATAATGGACAGCACCTAAAGGCCAATCTCTCAGACATTATCCATGACATAAAGACGATGCTTTTCAAACATCTACATCGCCAACCTCTCAGACATTCTTCCTTCTCACCATGATACAACAACGACGCTCAAACAGCATCAGCCGCGCTCACCGCGCTCCCATCCACCGCGCTCCCCCTCCTCATCGCCACATCCCTCTTATACCGCGCCTCACTCGCCGCGCTCCCGCTCCTCGTCCTGCTCCTCACAATCGCCAGCCCTTCCGTGCCCATCTCCTCCACCGCCAGCGCCTCCTCATTCGCCGTCTCCGGATCGCCCGCGTCCTGGCCCGGGTTCGCAATCTGGTACTCCAGCGCCTTGAGCAGCGAGTACACCGCAAAGGACAGCAATGCGCCCAGGCACGGCCCCAGCCAGTATATCCAGTGATAGCCCTCAAACCTGCCCGTCACCACCGCCGGGCCGAGGCTCCGCACCGGGTTGATGCCCGTGCCCGTGAAGTTGGTGCCGGCCAGGTGCGCGATGAAGACGCTGACGCCGATGCCCACGGGCGCGAGGAACGTGGCGCGGTGCTTCTCCACGGCGAGGAAGTACACCGTCAGCACGAGCTGCGCCGTGAGGAACATTTCGATGAAGAGGCCCTGCGCCGTGCTTGTGCCGCCGCCGAGGCTGTTTGTCACGTCGAGGTGGCCGGGCAGCAGGGCCGAGACGGTGGCCGCGGCGGCGATGCCCGCGATGATTTGCGTCGGCAGAATGATGAGTGCGCGGAGAGGCTTGACGGCTCCGACAAGGACAAGTCCCAGCGTGACCTATTTTGACAAGGGATGCTCATATCAGCATTACGAGTCAAAAAAAAGAAAACTAGGTAAGGAGGAGCAGTAGTTCATTATTCTTACCGCAGGGTTAAACATGCCCCCCGTAACGCGATAAAACACCCACACATTCACCGCCAGCGCCGTCCCAAACGACGACGCAATGTACAGCAGCGTGGCCGGCTCCAGCTTGTGGCCATCCGCAGCCGGGTTGTTCTCGAGGGCCACCTGCGCTCCCATAAAGGACAGCAGCAGGAACATGAATGTGCCGCAGAACTCGCCCACGCCGATGACGAGGGCCTTTTCATACCGCTTGGAGAGGGTATGGATGCGGTTTGCGGGCATTGTGAAGGAGCCCGCATGCAATTACTTGTAAGTTTGGGGTGTATTGTGCGTAATGTGATGTGATGTGCTTCATAAGATGTAATGATCAGACACTGTTTATATCTCAAGTTCTTCTAATTTAAACAATCATCCAACACCAAGGACTTGACCCTCGAGAACATCTCATTTATATATACATTCACATGTACATCCCTTCACACTCACACACACCAAAAAAAATGAAATAAAACGGCCGTGTCTCACAAAAGCTGCAAGCAGCAAATCACACGACTCCCACAACACAACATCACAACTACCACGAAAACCTTTCCCAAAACAAGAAAGCATCAAACGCCGTTGTTGTGCGCCTCCCCTCCCTTCTGTGCGTCTGTCTCATGTAACACCTGTTTTTTTTTTTCTTTCTTTCTTAAAGTGACTTGACACTTAATTGTACGACACATGTCTCACTCACGAGAAATCGCCGGCAAAAGAGACTGGTCACTTGTGCTCACATTTACAGCATTGAAAACTTTGCAAATCTAGAATCCGTCTCGCCATCGCAGCTTTCCTTTTGATAAAAGTTCAAGGTTCAATAATCCATGATTTCACTTTGTCTCAGACAACACGATAGTCTTGTTCCAAGCAGTGAAATCTCTCCGTGGGGCGCGGTCTGTGTGCGAGCGGCCTCTGCAGGATGACGTGGTGGGCTTGTACGCGGCTGGCCAGTTCAACCAACACTCGTTATCAACAGTAAAGATGATAATGGACGGATATCAGCGGCATTGGTGATGGTAACAATTTTAATCTATGTCTGTTACCTGACTTATATTGCGCCAAGACTGCAATGATGTTGTTTTGTGATATCAACTTCCTTTGATCAATGTTCCTATACATGCCGTAATGGCATCTCGTAACTGAAAACGCTTCAGAGTGAATATCAAAGCTCAGGAGCCCAGCTCCGTCTTGATGTTATGACTGTGCCAAATCGTTTCCTTGCCACCTTCCGACGGTACAACTACAAAGGTAATCTTAACTTTTCCCTCCTACTCGTATAGCAAGCAAGCAGTGCTCAAGCATGTCCACCAACCACTTGTGGCCACATTGCTCTTCTCCAAATCGACACTCTGTGAATCGAGCAGAAAAAAACAAACGCAAGCTGGTTCATATCATCCGTAAAATCGTCATTCATTATTCGTTAATAACGTGTGGCTGGTCTTCGACCAGAATCACAACCGTCAATGTCGCCGCATATGCTTCTCTGATAGCACACGCCAGGCTTCGAATCCAAGTTAGTTTCAGTATTCAGGGATAGAAGCGATGAATCGTGAGACATACCATGTGTTGTGGACATCCGCCACTATTGCACTGAGCCCCCAATGAGCGCACCAAGCCCTTGCCAGCACTTCATTGTCTCGAACTCCCACTGCATCTACCACGAGCACCTTCTCATCGTCAACGTCCCTATCGACAATGGCTTTCGCCACGTCTGCCGCCGGTGGAGGGCTCGACGCTGTGCTACTAGGCCCAGAAACTTGACCGTCTCCGTACAGACCGCCCCAGTTGCGCACTTTTACAATCTCGTCTGCCTTGATGAGCTGATACTCGTAGTCGTAAAAAAGGGGGTGTGGGCCTTCCGCGCAGGGCCACGCCGAGACAAAGCTCACGTCGTACATTAATCTTAGCGGCCAGGAAACACCATCAATGGCGAATTGGACCTGGGCATCAAAGAGTCGAGGACCTACGGCATTGCTTTCGTGTGCTGCCGTGGAGACAGCTTTGAAGCTCAGTAGCTCCATCCGTACCGCGTCGACCATGTACCTCGTGCTATCAAGCGTAGGTAGTTTGTACTCGCGCACAGGATATGTATCTGCCCGTGGCCCTAACGCATCGGACCTTGTGCTCATGCTCTCTACGTCCTCTCGGGCCATTTTCTGCTTCGGCTGCCGGGCTCGGATACGAGCAATCTGAGACCTGCCAAGGTCTACCGTAGGCCTACCAGGGCCAACCCAGCCTGCCACCGAATGACATGTCGGTGCCAGCACTTTACCCACAATGCAGCTCGCCGACCAGTATGTATGACTATTACGATACTGGAAGCCACATTGTGGGTGCATATGTGACAGCAAAGCAAGCTCATTCGTGGCGGGATCCGGGTCTAGATCGATGAGTGAGTTCATGATGAGGAACGAGAATGTCGGCTATCACATCATCCGTTAGCAAGATTTCCCCTCTGAGCTCTGCCTCCTCTTGACTGCATGTCCTGCCGCTACACCAGAGTTCACTTACGCCAGGAAGTACAAGGCCGCTAAAGTAGGCAAACGCATCCGAGCTTATGGAATCTAGAGCGAAATCTTCATCCTTCTGTCTTAGGCATTCCATTGTTTCTCTCAAGTTGGGCCACTTCATAATTTGAGCAAACTTTTTGAGCTGCTTTACTTGGCGCTTCTTCAGCTTATACCGCAGTTTTACTAGACGTCACCCCATTAGCTCCTGTGTTTCCCGCGCTCTTGTGCACCAATACTTGGCTTCCTTTCTCGTTTTTTGTTGTTGTTCCACCATCGAAGGAGTTACTAGAAAAAACATGCCACTTACCTTGTGTGGGCGAATCGCCGTACTCTTCAACTCGAACATTCTCCCGCCACCGTCTCGCGAGCGCCAAGTTCCATTTGATTGTAGGAGGCATCTGCTGTAACAGCTTCTCCTTGGCCCAGTCGTCATGATGCCGCGAGTGAATACGAAGCTCCAATTCTAGACTAAGGAGCAGCTGATGGAAGAATTTGTGGTACTGCTCTCGGTGTTCCTCGTTTGTGCCGTTGAAAATGAAACGAGTCACAACCTGATTCTTTGGCTCTGTGTAATCGATCCAGTCTGGGCGTGACAGTGTCATGATCAGGTCGGCAATCTGTTTATCCAGCGTCTTGTGTGGACTTAGAATCTTGTCAGGATCTCGCAAGAAGCGCTTGTACAAAGATCGATACAAGAGGCCCAAGTCATCATCTTCCAGCCCCAGCTGCTGCAAATCTTGCAGTCGCGCAAAGATTTGCTCCAAGGTTACCGGCCGCGGTATGACACCCGAGTCTCGCAGCGCAATCTTGGACGGGATGTTGCTTGCTGCTGCTGCCCACTGGTTGAGCGTCACGGTGCCGCCTATGCGACCATAGAAGAAGGCATAGCTGGGCTGCTCTATCGTCTCCCAGGGGTACGATACGTGCCCGTGCGCCTGTATCTTCATTGTCATGAGATGCGACATGGCATCATGCGGCTTTGCAACGTCTGTGCCCCCTCTTCGACTCTTGGAGCTCGTCACGTACAGCGCATAATGCTGGTCCGATGTGTAGGGGATTGATTTCTTGCGCCCTTTGTAGGTCGGCGCACCGCGCGCAATGAGCTCGAGGGCATCCTGGTGGGAAAGCTCTTCGCGGTCTGATGTGGTGGCTGGAGGCCATCGCGCTGCTTCGCCTCCACTGGGCGCCTGCGCCGCGGGGATTTTGCGATTCTTGTCGCCGGCAGCAGCATTGGTAATGGTGTTGCTATTGCTATTGCTGTTGTAGTCGAGGTCACCGCCGCTGCCCCGTCTCTTGCCAAAGCTCGATTGAAGCCGTCCAGACAGCGATTCGTCCGGCCGCCGCCTCGTGGCCGATGACTTGGGTGAGCGCCCATGGATGTCACTGCCATCACCGCCCCCATCAATGGTCCGGCGCCTGCGTGGGTGAAGCCCCAGCTCACGGCGCGACAAAACAAGACTGCTGCTGCCCTCGCTCATCCTGCGCTGCTGCCTCACCTGCTGCCCGTCGTGATCCTGCTGGTCTCGTGGCTGCGGCGGCGGCTGAAATTCTCGGTTCTCGCTGTAGTCTTCCCATTCCGGGTCGGCCTCTTCGCGCGCTTCTCCGCGCAGCAGCAGATCCTGATACTTGCGCACCACCCTGGACCCTCTCTTCATCAAGCTCTCCCCGCGTAGCAGCCCTCCCCAAAACTTGGATTTTTCTTTCCTTTGCTCCATGGCCATGGCCTCTCCTCACGAAAAAAACCCACTCGTCTGCTTCCACTAGACGCTTTCCCCAAAAGCGCCCCAAGGCAAGAGACGGTAGGTTGAGAAAAAAATGAAGGTTTTCACGAAAAGTCGGTCAATCTCCCCAGTTTGGCGCGAACGCTGTGGTGCATGGCTAGCCAGCTTTCTTCCTTTGTCTTGTTCAGCTTTTCGCCGGTAGCGAAAGCATCTTAGTTGATTGTGTCTGATGCGTGAGAGGTTCTTCCAGTGGCGCGATGCTATAATTTGTAGTCGCCGTCGGATATCACAGCATACCTAGCTGAGCGAAAAGGGAGAAAAAAAAGAGGGCGGTGGTCAAAAAGCAATTGTAAGTTGCAAAAGGCAAGGGCGAGAAAAAGCGAGGTGTTGAGGCAGGACGGACGTACAACATGCCACAATAGGTAGCCGCCCGCGCCTACCGGTGACCAGCATCTGGCACCCACGGCAAACGAATGGCGAGACTTTTATTTTACACAGTGTTTTTTTCTTATTCCTGGTTTGATGGCTTGAGAGAGAGAATAGAAGAAATCTAAATACTATTGTCAAATTTGACAATGCCATCTTCTTTTTCTCTGCGTCGTTGCAGCAATCTCCATGCCTTTTGTTTCATTGTGATTGTTCCCTCATGCGCAAATACAATTAATTCTCCACATGCCATGCCCATCACAATGCGCTATTCTCCCTGGATCCTGCAAGATTTGAAATCAATATTCTAGACTTTTCAAAGAACGCAAAGCTAGGTGTTTAGTAGAGCCATCATGAAATGGCAATCATACCAAGTAGTTTGTGACTGTGATTGTGATGCATGTCAAACAGCGGTCCTCCGCATAGCCTTTTCGGTACCAAATGCAACTGCATGCTGCATGCCGCACACTGCATATAAGCGCTGCATATGACAAAAATATGGAGTTTTACTACGCTGAATGGGAAAATGACAAGACAAAGAAAGACATGGGACGGGGTTAGTGCAGCATGGATTGCGGAATGCGACCAGGTGACCATTCACCCTGGCAATAATTTGAGATGCGAGACCCAATCACCGCCACCACAACCGAGGTCGGCACGCTGTTGGCTAATAGAATCACAACTCCTGTTGAATCAATTGCCTGTGTCCAGTATAAGGTAAAATAGCCTATACCACACACCGCATCATGTCCCTCTTGTACAATAGAGTAATAAACTAAATTAAACCGCAGCTCACTCCTTGGCTATCAACATCGCTGAGAAACTCTTCGCCGACAGCAGGGTGATATAAAAAGTACAAGCAAAGGTAGGTATGCATCGGCCATAACAATGTGTCCAAAAATCTTCAACACGGCCCTTTGAACTTCTTCAGCCTCGCTGCTATTATACACGGCATGTATACACGTATATACAGGTAGTGTCCACATGCACGCTCTTCTAAATCAACTCGTCCGTAATGGGCATTGGCATATCCGAGTCGACATTCTTCATCTTGGAAAATGCTTTCTGGTACTATACAATGTCAGCTGCACGCTCATTCGCCAATTTATAAAACCATCGCCTTCTTACCTGAAGAACAAGATTGACAATCAGCGCAATCATCATGGCCACGCTGATAATAATCGGCCCAATCATGTTATCAAAATCTTTGCCGCTCCTTTCCACAATCATACTCCTGCGAACCTGCTGGATGCTGTAGCCCCAGATGCCCGCAAACGCCGCGATGCCAATGTATACGATGCCGATCCACTGCGCAATCGCATTGTCGCCAGCCGCCGAGTATAGCGCCAGAGCCAGAGTGCCCTGCAAGATGGCAATGGACTGCCACTTGAGAAAGGTTCGCTCATTGGCCAGCCACACCTTGGGTTCAACCTTAAGATCTCCGGTGTTCTTGATCCATTGCGTGGGCTCGACAACGCCTTCGGGGAGACGAGCCTTCTGGGCGCGCTTAGCCCTGGCGTATTTGGAGAGAGACAAGCCAGGGAGAACTGCCGATAGGGTGCCGTATCCACTTGGTTGCGCTTGGGAAGAGCTGCCCTCGCCCTCTTCGTCCTGTGCTCCGTCTCTCCCTTGGGGTCTCTGTCTTAGAGAGCGAGACAAGTAGGCCGTGGCATCCGCTGCCATGCGCTCCGCCAAATATGATTTTCCGACAGGAGAGCTTTGTGCTGCCTTGTATGAGCTTGGGACAGTTCCGATGAGGCTTCCTACGGCCATGACATCGTCGGCACGCTGAGCTCGGCGCTGCTCTTCTTCTTCAAAAGCCTTCTGGGGGTCCTTGCGAATATCGGTTTCGAGATCGCCAAGCCAGAAGGGCAGGTTGTTAACGTAGTCGTCAAATAGGGAGGCAACTCCATGGACGAATTTGGAGAAGCGAGGAGATGGATGCACCAGGTGGGAGCCCATCAGATCCTCAATCCAGGTTGGCCGCTTGCGGCTGCCGTCCTCCTTGAGTTTAATTTCTAGCACAGCGTAGGGAAATTTAGATACTTCGCTCTGGTTGATATTCGGGAAGGGATACTTCATGTTGCTGTTGTCGATATCAGTGCGGTGCCATTCGTTGGGGTCACGGCAAGGCCTGCTCTTGTCCAAAGTGTCTTCGCGGATAAAGGCCAATTCGGTATCAATCGAGATGCGGACTCGGTCATCAGTAGGCTTCTGAAAAGCAGTGCGGACGTAGTTTGCTCTTAGCACTGGCGCCAGCTTCCTCTTCTGCTGGAACTCCTGCACTCTAGCAACAGTTGACTTGAAAGCCTCAATTTGTTCTGCACTCTCGCCTTGCCGCTCCATCTTTTGTGCAGTCTTCTCAGCCGTGTAGTCTCCATCTAAGAATTTCCTAATGTACTTGTCCTTGATCGTGAACTTGTGTTCCTCGCTCTTGCCGGTAGCATCGGCTGACTTTTGTTCCAGAAAGATCTCAGGCTTGGAGCTCAGCTGGCCGTACCATCGCAGACGCAGAGAGGTCACTTCTGACTGCTGTTCAACCTTCTCCGAGTACACTTCAAACTTGGAGTTGTCGAAATAGAGTGAGGTAATGGAAGGCGAATCGGAAGCATCGAGTTCTTTGGCAGACTGCTCACTATAAACCAGGGCGGGGAGACGACGGAGAATCAGGGTCTTGACTTCGAGTAGGTTGTCGGGGTGTACCCAAACTGCCAATTGCATGTTAGAAAGCCAAAAAAGTAGATGATACAAAACAAAAAAATCCAGTACATTACTCACACTTATGGGCGGTGTATCGCTCGCCATTGTGCGTTTCCGCTGAAGCGTCCAAGTCGAGCGGAACCTGGTCGCCCTCCTCCAATTGCTGTCGAATGGCAAAGTACATGACGGACAGCTTATTTAGAAGAGGCGAGTAGCCCTGCTCCGAGTTGAAGGGCCGCTGAGCCAGGCTGAGCTGCATCATCGGCCGCACCTTGTAGCGGTCGCCCCTCTTGCGGTCATGCTTCTTGACGATCTTGAGGAAGCTCGTGTAGTTGATGTTGCTGTATTTCTTCAGGGCCTTGACCTCATTGGTAATCTCGTCAAGCTCGGCTTCGATCTGCCTGAGCTTTGAGGCGGCTGCCTCGCGGTCGGCATCCGATTTGCTGCCGCTGCCTTCAACCTCGGCGTTGGACTCGGCAGGCGGCGCGAACTCCTTGAGCTTCTCAAACGCGGTTTCAACCCTCTGTTTCAGGTCATCGAAGCGCTCCTGCTGGAATTGGGCGACTTTCTCGAGCTGCACGTTGAAAATCTCGTCACAGAAGCGGCTCTCGTCCTCCTCGGTCCACACAGTCTCGTCGTCTCGCTTATCCTCTCGCAGGAGGCTTTTGAGCTTGCCGTAGTCGACGTACTTGTCTTTCCATGGCGGGTATATCGACTCGCGCAGCGTCTTTCCGAACCGCATCTCGGAGCTTTATCTCGTGATGCCCTTTGTCGTCGGCAATCCTTAAAGGGGGAGAGACAATCGTCGGCCCGTCTCCTCGACGATCGTTTCAGCCAAAGTCGAAGCTTCCGCCGAGTTTTGCAGCGGTGAGTCGCGAATTGAGTTGGAAGAAGCGAAATTGGCTGATGCAAATAAGCCAGAAGAAAGGAAACCAGATGAGGTTGAAGCGGAGGTGCAGCAAAAGAAAGAAACAAGGTTTTGTCCCGACTGATTCGGGGTCGGTCAAAATTTGGTTTTCCAATTGAAGCAAGGCAAATACGGAGTACAGCTTTGCCCACTACTACACCCTTCGAGCTCTGCCCACTATCCACTGAGTCCGCTATACTCATCTCGTGCGCGCCACTAGCCTCGCTATCCGGCGCGCCGAAGTAGGAAAAAAACAGAACCCCCCACTTGGAGCTGGCTGCCGCTGCGGTTCCACGAGCAAATGCGGCTAACTTGTACCGGCTTTCAGCGGGTTTCCGCTAGGTGCAGGTCTTCTGCAGGGCTCTGGAGCCTATCACCTCCCGCTAACCAGCACGTGCTGGCTGCTCGTTGATGCTACTGCAAGCAGCTGCTGGACCCAGATGCCAGGATCCAAGCAAAATGACGCAGGGCCCCGCAAGCAAAGGTTCAGTTGAACCGATTGGGCACCAGGGATAGGAAAATGAGATGAAAGAAGATTGGGCAAAAGAAAGAAAAAAAAACTCTGGAATGAGCTGAGGACTGGAAACATGTCTCAAATTCACAAAGCACATAGGTACGTGAAGACTAGTAGTCGAGGCTACATGTACTTTATACCACAGCAAGCCTTGACAATGTCTATGAACCCATCAAAATAACAAACATGGGCACAATCTCGTGCAGAACACATGCGGTATAACCGTTGAAAATTTCAATTGAACGCCTCTGACTCGAGTAAAGTACTCTCGGAATACGCCGTGAGACGGATTGGCCTCCTTCATCACATGAGTATTATTTCAGAAAACACTACAGGATTCTATAATTCCTCCAAGTGTAGCGTTGTGAGGCAATTGGACAGCAGTGCGAGAAAAAAGATGTCTACATCATTTGCTGCTAATATGGAATTAATGTCAATTTCCTCGATATAATTTATCACTGTTTTGCATTACTACATCTCCTCGAATTCCCCTCAGAAAGTCTCTCTACGTCTGGTGCAGACCTTTCACTAAGCCATGTTCGTAAAATATTCCAAAGATGACAAGAGCTCAAGCTACAGTATTCATACGACCGTAGCTATGTGTAAGATTTGTATATTACTCTCTTGCTCTCCTTCGGCGCCCTTGGCTAGCAATAAAGCTTTCCATTGCCATTATTAAGGCAGGAATCTAGCAAAGAGTTTGTATTAGAAACCACTTGCAGACTGTTTGAATCCAATCTTGGAGGAAGAGACCCAAAACTCACTGAGATCAATAAATGCCCTAGCAACTTGTTGGTGTCCGTTACGACATTGGCATACAAATATCGTGTCATCCTGAAGGACGCAGTCTCTGCAGCTTTCTCCAAAGTGGCCGCTGATGCTAATAAGTATATGCCTAAAGATGGGTATCATTCATGACTTACTTGGCCAGGCACTGGAGAGGATTAGTATCAAAGCATGTTCAAAAAGCTGTAGAGATGAGACATCTTACTTTCAACATTCCATTAGCATTGCCGAGGCATGCATAAAGATCGATGGTGGAGGTTTGAACATGGGTACCATCGCCGTCTAAACAGTCTGCTTGGAGAGTATATGGTTCAATGAGACTGATATTGTCGCACAAATCCGCAAAATTCTGCCCAAGTACATGAGTGCTCATGGGGAGGATGAGAAGCAAGGATGTTGAAGAGAACTTCATAATGTCAAATCTCACTTGTTCGCAATAACTCGTTTGTTGGTGTGTAAGTGTATTGTTGAGTAAATGTATACCAGAGTCGAGGGTGAAGTCACCATTATATACAAGTCAACTGGTCTCCTGCCGCGTTACATACGTTTAATTAAGCATGTATTACTTCGGAAGACATCCAAGCGCTTGTGAGAAATCGTGTCTGTGCTTGACCTCACATGAGCCAATTACGAACAACGACCTATTAGGTATGAAGGCCTCGTGAGACGTGACCCTGATATCAATAGAATTACAATTAGTCACAGCTTGATAAACAGTTTTCCTGGCCACCTCCTAGACGTGCTACACAGCTCAACAAGATCAATCTAGTATGGAAAAAATACCTTGTGTAACTTGTGCAAGTCAATTAGAATTACGAACACGGAATGTCATAAAGCTATTCAGATCCCTGCGTATTTCAGCGCACTGCATTCTACACCGTGAAAAACCTGCCAGCCTCTTCAATTTACAGGAAGCTTTTCATCACATATGATACGATATTGCGTTGTCACATGCTGTTGTCCCCTGAGTAAAATGTGGTGTCAATTGAGACTGCCAGCCTACTCCACGAAGTAAACAATCCTGGCGGTAGTGGCAGGATGTTTGTCCCTGAACTTTCTTCGTAGAGTAGGCTAGCAGTCTCAATTGACACCACAAGCCATATTAAGCAATTACTCGTCACACCTGAACCCTGGCTTCATGATCGCAAACATCCATTATACATAGAAGCCATGAAGACCGGCAGCCGTTTAGGGCAATCACATTGTCGATGCTTGCCAAGAATCTCAGCATTAGGATGACCGACTCGATTGTGGCTCGTTGATGCATCAGCACGGCTCAATGTCTTCCTCTCCGTATACAGACTGCCATACACACATCTTTTGCTTCATTAGTTTAATAGCCTAACAAATATAATAAAGGCACATATAAAGGTATTCAAAAAATTTGTATATAAAAACTAATGCCATGGTATCATTGCTCAACAATTTAGCAAAAAAAAAAAAAAAAAAGGAAAAGCCAAGCAAAAGCCTAGATAGTAACAGTTTTTATCATGAAAGTATGCTTCGTAAACTCATGGCTTTGCCTCCCACCCAATCTACCTATCCCCCATCCTCTAATGCGCCGCCATCTTGGCGAAAATTTCCTGGGCAGTTCTCTTAACAATACCACCAGTCACAGGCAAGTTGGTGCAAGCCTCGAGATACAAATCCACCTCACGAGCAGCCATGCGGCCCTCGTTGATGCCCCAAACAATGAGCGACTGACCGCGGCGCGCATCACCCGCAGCAAACACGCCATCCACGTTGGTGCTGTACTTTCCAGGAGCGGTCTTGACGTTCTTGCGAGCGTCCTTCTCAATCTCGTCTCCCAAAACGCGAGCCTCGGGTCCGAGGAAACCCATGGCCAGTAGGACAAGGTCAGCAGGGAAGAATTGCTCAGAGCCCTCAATCTTCTTCATGTCCCAACCGCCACTGGGGTTCTTAGTCCACTCGACACGGACAGTGCTGATGCCCTTGACCTTGCCGCTACCGTCGTCAAGGAATTCCTCGGACATAATGCAGTACTCACGAGGGTCCTTGCCGTCATGCTGGCGGACTTCCGTGTGGCCATAGTCGACACGGTAAATTCGGGGCCACTGAGGCCAAGGGTTGTCGTTGGCTCGCTCATCCGGAGGCTGGGGCAGCAGCTCAAAGTTGGTGACAGACTTGGCACCGTGACGAACCGAGGTACCAATGCAGTCGTTACCGGTATCACCACCACCAATGACAACAACATGTTTGCCCTTGGCGGAAATGTAGGAGTTGTCGGCGAGCTGGGAGTCGAGAAGAGACTTGGTGTTCTTGTGTAGGAACTCCATGGCATAGTGAATGCCCTCCAAGTTGCGTCCCTTGATAGGAAGGTCGCGAGCGACGGTAGCACCGGTGGCAATGACAACAGCGTCATTGCTAGCCCGAAGTTCGGTGAGTGAAGGCTGGCCCTCAGCACCAATGGCTACGCCCGTCTTGAAGTTGATGCCCTCAGAGGCCATGAAATCAGTTCGACGCTTGACGATTCGCTTGTCCAACTTCATGTTGGGAATTCCGTACATCAAGAGACCGCCCAGACGATCGGCACGCTCATACACTGTCACGGTGTGGCCAGCTCGGTTGAGCTGGTCTGCGGCAGCCAGACCGGCGGGACCGGATCCGATAATAGCAATCTTCTTGCCAGTTCGGACCTCAGGGGGCCGGGGCACCATCCAGCCCATCTCAAAACCGCGGTCGATGATGGCGCACTCAATTGACTTGATACCAACAGGGTCACTGTTGATACCCAACACACAAGCGCCCTCACAAGGGGCAGGGCAGACACGACCGGTGAACTCGGGGAAGTTGTTGGTCATGAGGAGACGGTTGAGAGCATCCTTCCACTGGTTCTGGAAAACAAGCTCATTCCACTTGGGGATGATGTTGGAGATGGGACAGCCGGTATCAGACTGGCAGAAGGGAACACCGCAGTCCATGCAACGGGCAGACTGGTACTTGAGCTCATCTTCGTCAAGACGTGAGCTGATCTCAGCCCAATCCTTGGTTCGAGTAGCAACGGAGCGGTACTTCTCCGTGCGGCGAGCGTACTTCATGAAACCCTTGGTCTTATCAAGCACCAGAGCCCGCTTCTTCTTCTCAGCTGAGCTGTCTCCAATGGCCTCTTCCATATCCTGGAGCTTGGCGGCTTTGTCGTCCTTCTTGCCATGCACACCAGAAACGGCGGGGAGGTTGTACTCGGCACGCTTGGCTTCGGCAGCCTTGGTGGCCTCCTCTTCCAAGACACGCTTGTAATCCGTGGGGAGAACCTTCACGAACCGAGGCAGAGCACGGTTGAAGTCGACCAAGATACGGGCCGCTCGCTCGGATCCAGTGTAGTGATGGTGGTCCTCGATTAGGCCGCGGACGTAGGCAATCTCAGTAGGATCTTCGAGAGGGCCATACTCAACCATTTCGGTATTGAGCTTGGTATGGAAGTCCTTGTGGATATCCAAAACGTACGCAATACCGCCAGACATACCTGCGGCGAAGTTACGGCCAGTGCTGCCAAGAATGACAACCCGTCCACCAGTCATGTACTCGCATCCGTGGTCACCAACACCCTCAACAACAGCGGTAGCACCGGAGTTACGAACGGCGAATCGCTCAGCAGCAACACCACGGAAGAAGCATGTTCCGGCAGTGGCACCGTACAGACAGACGTTACCGATCAGAATATTCTCCTCGGCCTTGAAGACAGCGGAACGAGGGGGATAGACGATCAGGCGACCACCAGACAGGCCCTTGCCGACATAATCGTTAGAATCACCCTCTAATTCGAGAGTGACACCTGGTGCGAGGAAAGCACCAAAAGATTGACCGGCAGATCCCTTGATGTTGACATGAACCGTATCAAGAGGCAGACCCTCTCCACCATATCTCTTCGAGATTTGGTAAGACAGTGAAGTGCCCATAGCACGGTCGGTGTTGACAATGTCACACTCAATTCGGGACGGAAGTCCCTTGTCGAGAGTCAACTCGGCTTCAGAGATGAGCTTGTTATCCAATCGGACGTAAAGCTTGTGGTCCTGCTTGCGGACGTTGAAGGTGGCGACGCCAGGGCGGAGCCTGTGGGCAGGAGTCAGCAACAGAGACAGGTCAATGTTGGCGGTCTTCTTGGTGCGCAGATCGTCTCGCATCTTGAGGACTTCAACGCGTCCAACCATCTCATTAATGGTTCGGAAACCCAGCTTGGCCATGATGGCTCGGAGCTCGTTGGCTACATAGTAGAAGAAGTTGATAACGTGCTCAGGAGTACCATTAAACTTCTGGCGAAGTTCGGGGTCCTGGGTAGCGATACCGACAGGACAGGTGTTAAGATGGCATTTGCGCATCATAATGCAGCCCATGGCAACCAGAGGAGCGGTGGCAAACCCCCATTCTTCAGCACCGAGCAGACAAGCAATGGCGACATCGCGACCAGTTCGGAGCTGACCATCAGTCTGTACCACAACACGACCACGGAGATCGTTAAGAACCAGCGTCTGGTGAGTTTCAGCAAGACCCAGCTCCCAGGGGAGACCGGCATATTTGATACCGGTCCATCGAGAAGCACCGGTACCACCATCATGACCAGAGATCAAGATGTGATCGGCCTTGGCCTTGGCCACACCAGAAGCGACAATACCCACGCCAACCTCCGACACCAGCTTGACTGACACGCGAGAACGGGGGCTCGAGCACTTCAGATCATAAATCAGCTGCTTAAGATCCTCGATGGAGTAAATATCGTGGTGGGGAGGAGGCGAGATAAGTCCGACACCAGGTGTAGAGTGACGAGTGCGGGCGATGGACCTGGAGACTTTGTGACCAGGAAGCTCACCACCCTCACCGGGCTTGGCACCCTGGGCCATCTTAATCTGAAGCTCGTCGGAGTCGGCGAGATACGCAGAGGTGACACCGAATCGACCAGAGGCAACTTGTTTGATAGCAGAACGCATGGTGTCGCCGTTGGGGAGACGCTGGGATCGCTCCGGATCCTCACCACCCTCACCAGTGTTGGACTTGCCGCCCAATCGGTTCATGGCAACGGCAAGCGTAGAGTGAGACTCCATGGAAATAGAACCGTAGGACATGGCACCAGTGCAGAAGCGGCGGACGATGTCAGTCCATGGCTCAACCTGGTCAATAGGGACGGGATTGCAGTCGTCAAACTTGAAATCCAGCAGACCACGCAGAGTGCAAGACTTGATTTGCTCATACTCGCTTCGCGAGTAGGCCTCATATGACTTGTCATTCTTGGAACGGACTGCATCTTGAAGGTTGGCGATGGCAGTTGGGTCGTTGACGTGCGCCTCGCCACCATCGCGCCAGTGGTATTCACCAGACTCCGGGAGAGCCTTGATGCCGACAGTGTAGCGGGAGGGGAAACCAAGTTCATGGAACCGGAAGGCGTCTTCAGCGATAAGTTCAAAGGTAAGACCCTGGATGCGCGAAGCCGTACCCCTAAAGCACCTCTCAACAACTGACTCATCGAGGCCAAGAGCTTCGAAAATCTGAGCGCCCTTGTAAGAGGCCAGGGTAGAGATACCCATCTTGCTCATAACTTTCAGGATACCACCGTCGCAAGAGTGCTTGTAGTTGCGGATGAGCTCATCTTCAGTTAGCTTCTTCTTAAGAAGACCTTCTCTGCTGAGCTTGAGGATGCACTCCATGGCAAGGTAAGGGTTGATGGCATCGGCACCATAGCCGAGCAGCACGCACATGTGGTGGACTTCACGAGCCTCAGCAGTCTCGACCACTATAGCCGCCATTGATCGCCACTTGTTGCTGACGAGGTGGTGGTGGACCATGCCAGACGCCAAGAGAGCAGACACGGCAACACGATCGGCAGACAGGCCTCGGTCAGACAAGACAATGATTCGGTCACGCGCTTCAATGGCCGCAGTAGCCTCTTTACAGATCTCATCCAGATGCTTCAAGTAGCCCTCAACACCCTCAGACTTGGGGTAGGTCAGGTCAATTGTCTTGACAGTCCACTCAGGGTGGATGGAGGACATGTTCTTGATGGCATTAAATTCGGGGATGGACAAGATGGGACTGGGAAGAAGCAAGCGGCCACACTGAGAGGCATCCATCTCCAGCAGGTTGCCCTGAGGTCCAACGTAGCACTCCAGTGACATGACAATGGATTCTCGAATGGGGTCAATGGGCGGGTTGGTGACCTGGGCAAAGAGCTGTCGGAAGTACTCGTAGAGAAGGCGCGGCGAATCAGTCAAGCAAGCCAGGGGAGCGTCATTGCCCATGGAACCCAAAGCTTCCTTTTCGTCAGCAGCCATGGGAGCAAGCAGCAAGCTGACCTGCTCGTGAGTGTAGCCAAAAGCAAGCATCAGTGGGTCCTCCTGGAAGCGAGCTGCATCAGGCTTGGCAGCCAGGTCAAATTTGGCCTCCAAGGTCTCCAAAGTCTTGGGCAGGGTGATCAATTCGCTATCAAGCCAAGAGCGGAAGTCGTGTCTGTTTGCGACGGCAGCCTTGAGCTCTGCATCGTCGATGATACGTCCAGCCTGTGTATCAACCAGCAACATCCTACCAGGCTGCAGTCTGCCCTTCTGGATCACAGACTCGGGCTCTACTGGAATGGTACCGACCTCGGAAGCACAGATGATGCGATCATCGTCCATGACATAGAATCGGCAGGGACGCAGACCATTACGATCCAGGTTGGCACCGCAGTAGCGGCCGTCGGCGAATGTGAAGAGAGCGGGACCGTCCCAGGGCTCCATCTGGCAGGCAGCCCATTCGTAAAAGGCAGCCTTCTTGGGGTCCATAGAGTCGTTGCCCTGCCAGGCTTCAGGCACCATCAGCATGACAGCCTCGGGCAAGGAGAGCACACCATTGATGGTGAGCAGCTCCAGAACGTTATCAAAGGCAGCGGAATCGGATCCACCGTCCTCGACAATGGGGTACATCATTTCCAGCTCCTCTTTGAAGATGTCGGACTGCATCACGCCTTCACGAGCGCGCATCCAGTTCTTGTTGCCTCGCAGGGTGTTGATTTCACCGTTGTGGGCAGCCCATCGCAGCGGCTGAGCACGATCCCATGAGGGGAAGGTGTTTGTAGAGAAACGCGAGTGGACAAGAGCAAAGTGAGCCTCGTAATCGGCGTTGACCAAATCATGGTAGTATGAGTACACTTGGACGGGGGCAAGCTGTCCCTTGTAAACAATGTTCTTGTTCGACAAGGAGCAAAGATAGAACCAGTTGTGCAGGCCAATGGTGTGAGTGGCGCGTTTCCGTAACACGTACAGTTGTCGCTCAAAGTACCGTTCATCGAACTGGGCTGGGTCGGTGGTCTCTGGGGCATTGCCGGTGCCGTATGCAGAGGCAAGGACAACAAAAGGCTGAGCAATGATGGGCTCGCGGGACTTGGCCGCAGGACCGAGCAAGCTGGAGTCGACGGGAGGCCGTCGCCATCCCAAAACCCGCAGACCCAACGATTCGGCAACATCTTCCAGCTGCCTCTTGGACTCTTCAAAGGTCTCTTCGTCGGGCTTAAAGAACAGGTTTCCTACAGCATATTGACCCAGAGGAGGCAGTTTAATGTTCTCCTCTCTCTCGAAGTTCTTGATGAAGAACCTGTGTGGGATGGATGTCATCACACCAGCACCGTCGCCATCTCGGGCGTCGGATCCCACAGCACCACGATGGGTCATGTTGCACAGTAGGTTTCGTGCTGACGAAAAAAGTTAGTATTTCGTCTCTCGGAATTTATCTGTAGCAACTTACCATCGCTAACAATCTTGTGGCTTGCCTTGCCCTTAATGTGGCTAGAATTGGCAGGTTAGCAGAGCTGTATTATACCATGGCGAACATCCGCCAGAAGACGTCAAGTCAAGGCAACTCACCAAGCAAAGCCTACACCGCAAGCATCCTTTTCATAGGATGGGTCATACAGACCCTGCTTCACCGGCAGGGCGCCAGCCCATGAGTCATTGTTCTTGTCCTGATACTCATACGGATGGTATTCCTCCTTTTCAGCGTCGAGTTCAATTTGTCGGTCGTCGAAATCCTCGAGATAGCCCATGCTAGGCGAGGCTCCGTTTGCTAAATATTGGTCGGGTACGATTGACGAGGGAGCGTTTGCTCACAGCTGTGTCGTATCGTAACTTGGAAGTGTATTTCTGCGCTCAGCACAGATCTAGAGAGGCAATCTGGAGTTAGTTGACGGCCCGCAGAAGCTCTCAATGAGGAGAAATCGGGAAAGAGGACGGGAGCAACAAGAATAAGAATGTGGACAATGCGGGGTAAAGAGAGAAGAGGGAATTGATAGAAAACCCAATGCCATGACTGGGCGGCAGCCTCCGCTGGTGCCGGATTGTCATCGCTGGATGAGGTGCACAGCTCGAAGAAGCCTCGATGTACTGTCGCACACCAAGGCAGGGCTGCAAACGCCTAGGCCAGCAGTGGGTGGGGACCCTGCCTCAGCGCTGCAGGGGGGCTTGTCTCACTGTGACTTAGCACTGGCAGCCCTAAGCCCCAGCAGCCGAATCCCAATTTTTAAGCGTTTGCGCGGCCAACAGCATGTGAGATGATGACGCTGGCGTCGGGATTTTCCCCCACGATGCCCCTCATGCCCACAATAACTTGCCCATTGCGTCCGCTTGGCGCCCGTGTCTCAGACCAGCCTGAGTTGCTTGCGCAGTCGACACCGTCATCGGCAGAGGAAAACAAGGCAAATGAGGCCAGGTCGCTGGACGACTTTTTTTCCCTTTGGCGTGTATTTTCTGCTGAGATTGCAATTGGGGAGACGGTAAAGGCATTGATTGTATTGCAGGCATGATATTGCACCAGCAAAATCGCACAAGGCTCCACGAAAAGCGAGATGGGTGAAAATCGCCAGACCAAATCGATGAGCTCATGAGAGAGAAGCGGAGGGTTTGAGGATTTGGCGCAATAATGAGAGCGAAAAGGCGCATTTTGGAGTCCAAACATTGTCTTCCAATTCGCAATCATCTCGACCTGTTCAAGCGCCAATCTCGAATTCCCTTCTTCTTCTCCTTCTCTTTCTCTCCGGCAGTCGTGGTTCTCTATCTCAATTGAGTTCTAGCAGCGTCTATTATCGATCTTGGTGGGTTGCGAGCTATCCGCAGAAGCCGCCAGAATCCTGATAACATGGGCGACTGCTTTTTCCGATTTCCCCCATCTCGCAAAAGTAGAGTTGGCGCCGGCAGATGCAGCGAACCTTGTGTGTGGACTTTTTCGCACTTGCTTTTGGGGTAAGGAGACTAGGGGAATTGAGGAAGATTTGGAGAACTACCTATATGGTGGGAGATGGGAAGAGGGTCATCAGCATCGAATAACTTACCGGCTTGTGAAGTTCAAGTGGTATCAATGAGACGCTTTGCGCTCTGCAAGTATGAACAGCACGCCACAAGGGAGAGTAGAAGAGAAGAGAGCGAGGGAGAAAGTGAAGCAAGTAAAGCAGAAGAGAGGGGGGGAGGGAGGGAGGATGGGCAGCGGAGAGGCTTTATTATAGACAGAGGAGGCGTCCAGAGTCTCCAGTTGTCCGAGTCTATTGCTCAGAACTTGGCTCTCTGCCAAGGCATGGATCTCAAGAAAGTGGTCCGAGCAGACGGACAGGAGTCTTCATACCAGCAACCGCAGAGCAGAACAAGTACATGTCAAGCGGCATGCTAGTCGCTTTGTGATATAGACCCGGACGACTAAACACCAAGTCGCAGCCGACAGTGGGGGGCTCGAGAACCAACCGCCTGAAATGCGGCGCTGTGAATGGCGCGGCGCCTCCCAGCGACGAACTGGCATTGCTTTTTAAGCGGGCCGATCTGCCCCTCCACTGAAGCACATGTCAGAAAACACCGCAAGCTCCGGGGGGTGTGCCAATGGCAATTTCCCTTGCTGGCTGTAGGCATTTCATGCCATGGTGCCTCGATTCGTCGAGCGAGTACGGGGACGCGGGATGGGAGGTTTCATTCGTCGGTAGCACAGCGACGGCGCCGATGCGCGGAGACTGAGGCCCCTCCAAGCCCAGGAATTCTCGTCTCTCGCTGATGTCAATCCGTTGAAGCTGCATCCAAGGTCGCGCTAGCCTGGGTTCGCAGGCAAAGAGCCCCAGTGGCATTTTGTATTGAGGTTGTTGGTATATGCTGAATGTCGCATCTGATGGATCTTCGGCCGAGTACGTCACACTCCTTTTGCGGCAACAGAGGCAAAAATGGCCCTCGGCTGTACAGCAAAGCCAATTGCTAAGCAGCAACGCTGTTGCTCCAAACCCGATCCTCTCCGACTGCATTCCTTGCAGTCGGAATTCGTTCAAGTCGCTGAGGCTTCTGTTGGCTCCGTCTAGAACGTGGCCATACGTAATAAGAGCCTCAGGCAACGGCAGCTCCATCGCTGACTTCTCGCGATTTCCCAATCGGGCTATCGATTACCCTCAAAAACCAAATTATTACCCCCATTAAACCTTTCCATTACCCCCATGAAACTCGCTGCTGTATTTGCATTACCCTCAAATTACTTGCAAAAATCATGAAAATTCTCTAGAGGAACAGACGGTGTTGAGGCCAGCATGTCCAAATGGACTGGTAATTTCCCCGGGCAATACCTAGTTGCGAGCACAAGACTCGGCTGCACCAAGGCGGCCTTGCAACTCCGTCGCTTCTTCTTACAACCGCTGACCACAAGCCAGGCCCCTCCCTTCAATCTTCGCCTCATGGGTTGCTGTCACAATAATATGAGACGACTAATTCCCGGCTCTCTGGTTGGCTCCAGGCAAGCTGACGCTCATCTCAGCGCCTATCTAGATGGCCAGATGGCTAGCAGCACGCTTATCCAGTCGTCGAGAAATTTGGTTTGCAACATGCTTTGTGTAAGAGAAATCCGAGCGAGCGAGGAGCTAATATTGTCCGAATGCGGCAGGGTTTCGCAGTCAACCCCACAGCATCTCTACTACCTTGCCAGGATCATCCCAGACTCCAAGGTAGGGACCCTGCGGCCGATGCACACGAGGATCTGTGGCTGACGGCTTGGAGCTTAGCAGTGCAGCCAATCACAAACGACCCTTTTCCAAATCCCGGTCGCTGCGTGGCCGATGTCGCGCTCAAGCTCCAGCGCCAACGAAGCATGCTCTTCAAGGACGGGGACCCTAAAATGGCACCGAGAGATTTGGCGTCCGGAGAGAGACCCAGCAGAGGAAGTGGTCGCTGCAATTTGCTCTTACAGTAACAGCAGCACCGTTGCGAGACTACTCGGCTGGTGCCAGATTGTGCTGAGATTGTGCTGAGACAATGGCAACCCCTCCCGGAAATCTGGCGCCATACGCCCATCAGCCTGCGATACCTCACGTCGTCATGGCCACACGTGCCACAATTCTTCAGCCGTGCTTTGACATGCCTAAACGGAAAGGTCGGTTGCACTTTCTGGCTGCAAGATGGATAAGATGAGGGTGCAAAGCCGGGGCTGGGCATGCGCGGGCGATGCAGACACTGGCCGGGGGTGCTGGACCGCAGATGCTTTTATGGATTTTGCCCGCGCCAGCGGCGCCATGTTTGGGAACAAAGAGGCCATATAGGAGAGCGCGCAGCTTGAGAAGAAACCTCGTCAGCCAATGGAGCACAAGCGTCGTCGATGCCTGCAGCACCAGCGTGCGTAGCGTCGCAGAGAGACTCGATTATAGCAACCCTACTCTTTGCGATGCACCCCCATTTTCGCCTGCTACTGTACAGTACAACATTCTTGCAGTCTAGCGAGCGCAGACAAGAACGTCGACCCATCTTCTGCGCGTGGTGGTGGTACTTCGGCCGTGCTCACTCAAAAAATCGACATCAGAAAACTGGCACCTGCAGCCAATCAGCATCCCAGCCACCGCTGTCGTCCTTATCTCAGGCCAACCAAGATTGCCGGCCCGTTGCCCGAATCTTTGGCGCTGCAGATAGCGGCAATAATAGCCTGGAGCTACTCGAGAACTGATACGAGCCACCTCGCCACAAACGAGACATGTTTGCTGCTACCTTGCAATAGTGGCTCTGGCCGACAGCCTAGGGCACTTCTATGGTTGCACTCACACAAGTCATGGTGACATCCGAAATGAGGTGACGGCCCTGCCATTTGCACGTACCCCAGAGGCGTGCACCAGTTGTGCTTTTATGAGGCTCTCTGTTCAAAGACGACAAGCTCTCAACCGCAGGCTCCAACTCTGGATACAGCGGACACAGCAAGACAAGACGAAACAGTTGTACTATGGATATAGTCAGCATCTCAGTTATGCCACCAACCGCTGCGATGGCTGCCTGCTCACGATCAAGCCAGCCACTTCTAACTGAGGTACTAGTATTTGGATGTTTTGTAATCCAGAACGTGTCATCTTAGCTCGGTCAAAACCCACTCTTTACGTGCATCGTACATTCGTTTCTCAGGATAAAATGCAACGGCGTCTGCTCGTGCTAGTGCCATTTTTTCCGTCATCTAGTCCCTAATTAACCAGGGCCTATTTTCCCGAACCAGATGGCGGGGCTTGGGGGGTGTGTGGTGTGGCCTTTATCCCAGATCACTGGTCAACTCCATCACAGGTGTGCAGGCGCCTTTTGAATTCTTATAAATATCAACGCGGAGAAGTCTCTTTGCGGCAGCAGCAACAACGCGAGAATGGAACGTTGGTGAAGAATGCGCACCACCGAAGTCGGTCATCGTGGCTGCTAGTGCAAGCTGCGTATAGATGCTGATCCTGCCATCAGCTCTCGAAGCATACAAGCAGCTACAACTGACTCGAAACGGTAATTTGCCCGCTGCTTTGTCGTACGACTGTCAAAGTCGCCGAAAGAGGAGCTTCTGGGCAATTCATTTTATGATAATGCTAATCCAGAGGAATTAGGACAACAGGCTAGGCTTCGTGTATCAGTGTTCTCGGAAAGATTATTAGTTGGCCTTTTCCTATTATAAATCCATCTTCCTTGCCCGTCGACGCTGTTTCTCGCATTTTCCCGGCGAAATTCCGCCTGTTACAGCCTGAGCTCCGTCTGAACGCTTGGCGGTTCACCGAAGGCGGAGTTACAAACGAGGGCCCCCATTTTGCGACTTTCCACGGCAGGAAAAATGAGGATGGGGGTCCGCTGGTCATCCCGAATTCTCCCGATATCCACTCTGATGCTGAGGGCTGTTCTATGACTCTTTGTCTGAGAAAAGCGCCGAAAAGGACAAATAAAGAACAGATGAAACGGCCCATTGTTTTGTCCGGCTGCTCTTCAGGTTCATTCTCAAGTAACAGCACTCTATGTAGGCCGAGGGAATGACAATACTCCCAGCTTGACAGCGCTTCTCCCACTGGCATGGGCGAGGCAAAGCCCGTATTATAGAAGTCTAAACAGCTAGTTTCCAGAAGCATTCCAGAAGCATTCAATAGCGCTTTGCTGAGCAATTTGGCAGCCTCATCATAGAACTATTTGCTGTGTGGGCAGATGGATGAGATGATTCGTAGTGGTTTCGAGCGTTATACTGTAACCGCCCTTGGAACGCGCTTGCGCTTTAGACGCCACAAGCGCGCTGCGGGGCTAAGCCTATCACGGGCCGTATTTATCAACAATGCTCAACTTCACGATCCAAGACTCGGCATTGATAACTTGTCGGGATTTGCGTTCTAATGCGCCTCAATGTTTACAACGCTGCCAGATTTCACACCGCGAGATGTATGGATATCCTGATCACCATCTAAACGCACCAAAATTATGCGCTGACTGTCAATTGTATCGTGGTAGTCGCACTCTCTGTGGTACTCATCCTCTAGGAATCCCTTCATTCCTCCAGGCCCAGTCGACCACCTACACGCGGATCCGAACAGCAATCACCATGGCCAAGCGCACTCACGCCAGCGCGGGCAGCTCATGGAGCGAACACTTCTCGCGCGCCTCGCTACGGACGAACAAAAAATGCACCGACGTCGGATGAATGTGCAGAACTTTGGAAGCACCTGGCTAAAGCCTCCCGGAGTACCCAAGACTCTACACCAGATGCGAGAGGAGAAGCGCGAACAGGAGGAACACCAAGAAGCCATGAGGCGAGAGCAACTTGCTCAGGAACTAGCAGAGGCGGAAGGTGGCGGTACAATGGACGAAGGCATGATGGACGATGTACAGCTTGATGGAGCGCAAGACTTGGACGATGAGATTCCGGATGCGGACGATGCTTTTAACCCAAGCAGCGACGACAGCGAAGAAAATGACGATGACGATAGTGAAGATATCGATGACGAAGAGTACTACGAACAGGCGTTGGACGAACAAGAGGTCTACGAAGAAACCGTACGACAGGAGACAGAGTACGAGCTGGAAGCTGCACGTATGAGGATGACAGACGACGCCTTCCGGGAAGCCCTCGTCCGCGGCGACCCAGAAGCAGACGGCAGCATATATGGCGGCGCAGAAGAAGAAGACGACGAGAGCAGGAGCCAGATACTCGACGAGGACGACTTCGCCCACGACGGCACCCTGGACGATGGAATGGCGGGCGACATGGACGCTAATCTCGACGACGACATCCCCGAAGCAGATGACGGCGGCTACGAGCATACCGACTCCGAAGCCGACGTCAGCAGCAGTGCTCATTACAATGAGGAAAACGAAGGGGAGGAAGGCGATTCCACCGACATCAGCTTTGTGCCGGCGCGCTCTACGCTCCTTGAAACCCCTGGATCTCCTACGCTGCCTCGCCAAGCGGGGTCACACACAAGGCAGGGCTCTCATAGAAGATCCCGTGCGAGCATGGATCTGAGCAGTCTGCTGTTGCAGGACGAGAGCAGCTTTATGACGCCGATGGCGAGCAGTCCTGCGGCAATGAGGCGGAGACAGGGCCAGCGGAAATGAGATGATTGTTATTATTAGTGTTGTTATTTTGTTTTGTTGTCTGTTGTAGGTAGGAAAACATAGCTTAGATACCCCTGTTTTTATGAAACTTTTTTATTCTTCTCGGAACAGGAAGTTGATCAAAATTTCAGCAATTAAATGCAATTATTAGGATTTATGTTCCAAATAGTTTATATAGCTGGATGAAATATCACAACATGCATGGGGACAAAGAGTGAATCGAGATGTAAAGAATGATAGTAGCCTCGTAGTAAGGTTCTTGATGATATTAAAATGATTTATATAGATGGCTCTTAGCCCGTATCAAAGAAAATCCACTCGCTTTTATTTCACAGTCAAGACCTCCCCCCTTACACATTCATGCAGCTCATTGTATTTCTCTGCGAAAAAAGACAGAACAGATGACCAGAAACGGCAGCAAAAACTCCCCCAAAAAAACGCCTGCCCAAGATGCACCTTTGAAAAAAAAAAAAAAAACATTGTCTGCCAGGAAGAAGAAAGTAGATGCAAAAGAATATGCACTGTCTTCTACTCGTAACCACGGGAGGCTATGATAGAAACGTCATCGCTATCGCGTGAAATCCGTATAAAAAGGGGAAGAAAAAAAATATGTTGTAGGGCGGAAGATCGTTTTTTTTTTTATCGTGCCCCCTTCGTAACATTCGAAATTTGAGATTTTTCTTTTCTTCGATTTTGCTTAGAACAGCCAGACATATATAAACAGCGCGGCGACGGCAAAGAAGAAGAGCAGCCACCACTTCCAGCTGACGCCGCTGCGCTGCGCCATGATGAGCATGCGGTTCATGGTGCCGCGGAGGCGCACGCGCGTCGAGTCAAAGGTGTCGTTCATCTTCTCGGCGAGGGCGGAGGATTCGCGGATTTCGTCGCCGATTGCGGCCGTCATCTATTGTTTGGCGCAAAAAAGCGATACGTTAGCAATAGCCCCTTGTCTCTCTATGGCTCTCCCTCTCTTCTCTTCCGAGCGCGCAAAGGCGCTGTGAACTGAATGCGCAGAAATAGGATAGTGCCATAGCCTGACTTACGTCTTTGAGGACCTTGACTTTGCCCAGAATGCCCGCCACTTGGTCATCGTTCTGGCTCTCCAGCTCGTTCAGCACCGCGTCGCTGTACTGCCCCTTCTTGTTCGGCGTCGCGGTTCGGTATGCGCTCGAGGGCGTGCCGCCGTAGGAGTTCCCATTTGAAGGGGAGTAGCTGTTGTAGCCGTAGCCTCCCCCTACGCCGGCGCTGGGAGAGGGAGATGGGCTGGGTCGTCCGCGCTGGGATTGATCGCCCGTGTAGCCTGCGAAGAGGGCGCTGCGCGAGTCGCGCTGGTGGAGAGACGAGGCACCGAATCTATGTTTTTATAATGGTCGATTGATTAGCTGGATGATTTGGTAATGTAGATTATCTTAGGCGGGACAGCAGGGAGGTAATCGTCGAGCGCGCGCATCGTGGAAAAGTTGCCTTCGCGACAAGATATTCGAATAGGGTAGGTTGAATCGATGACAACTTACCTTTGCGACATGATGGTGATATACGTAGAGTTTACGCAACCGCAGTGGGAAAAGCAGCCAGTGTATAAAAAGGGGGTAATATGAAGAGAATGAAGTGGGCTATTTGATCGTCACTCCTGCTGAAAAACTAAATGCCCCTTGGAAGAAGTTGAAATATTACATGCAGTCGTTTTTTATGGCTTAGGTGGTCTTGATCCATGTCCACGAAGAGTGGCGTTAGTGATTTTTTTAGGGAGGGTACGTACCCAAGCCATTGTGGTGGCGGCTCAACCAACGCTCTACGTGGCTTGAATTGGGCAGGACATTTTTTTCCTGGGGAAGGATTTGAGAACACCCAACCAAGAGAGTTGTTGAAATTTGGCTATGCATAGAAGCTATTTGCCTAAAAGCTACTCTTGGCATATTCCCACCTGTTCAGCTGCATCGTCTCCAGGGTATGTGCCAGAGCGTGAACAAAAGACAAGGTGACATGAAGCTTAAAGCACTGGTGGGCCACATTACTCGAGTGTGGGGAATGGCGGGATGCTGCACAGGACAAGGCTCCAGAAACGCGAAATGCCAACAGATTGTTGATGGCCTCAGTGGCAGCATGTGCGTGCAATTTTCAGCTACCTATCTCCGTTCCCCCAAACACCGCATGGTATATAACACGTCCCAAATATGTAGCAAATAGCGGCCTATCGTGGTTACATGACCCCAGCTTAAATACCCAGATCAATCCCGCTCTGAGCTCCCCGCCTACCTGCGCGGTGAAAAATCCTGGTGAATCCATAAACATAAAATCATAGACCGAATGGCGACTCGATTGAGCCAGAGAATCAGAGGGATGATATCTTAGCCCTCCATCTCGGTGTCCTCGGTGGGAGGGTGGAAGTCCTCGTCGTCTTCCTCGTCCTCGTCATCGTCCATGGGAGTCTGCTCAGCAGCCCTGGCGTAGTCAATCTGGGCACCGCGAGTGCGACGTCCGCCTTCAACAATGTTGTTCAGATCAATCTCCTCCAGTCCATCCTCATCTGCGTAAAAAAGGTTAGGCAATCAAATCTCCCTTGGGATGAAATAGTAGAGAGGTGGTAGATGTTTACCTGGTTCAGCATTCTGCCCAAGCGTGTTAGGTTAGCGATCTGATAATGCAAACAACGATGGCATGAACTGGATTGTTCATCGACTTACATCCTCTTCAAGCTCATCCTCGTCATCATCCTCGTCGTCGTCGTCGTCCTCATCCATGGCGACGGCGTGGGGAACATCATCCTGAGTAGCCTTTCCCTTGCCCTTGCTCTCAGCAAAGGAATCCTCAGTGTGAGGGTTGGTGGCTCCAGTTCCGTCAGACATTTTTGAGCACAGGTGTTTCTGCGAGAGTGTGTTGGTAAGAAAGAAGCTTGGGAAATGGCTGTGAGACGAATTGGTATGAGGAGGGTGAACGGTGAGTGCCTTGGTAAGTATAAGTAGGAGAGAGTGAACCTGAAGTGGACCGGGTTCTGCTCCAAGCTGTTTTTTGATCGAGGAACCAGCCAATGGAAAGGCGCATCTGAGTGCGTAGTAATCAGGCTAGTCCATTTAAGCACTAGCAGGCATTGATGCTGTCTGTATCCGCCAGTCACGTGCATTTATCTGGATCAAGATCTGAGGTTGCTGGGCAGAAAGACATGGGTGATACAGGCACGGAGTGGGTAGGCAGGGCAATTGCTGCTGGGTGGCTGGAGAGTGAATGAATTACGAAATGCGACGACAGTATGGAGTGTTCTAGCATCTACTAGGGAGGCAAGGAGGCGACAGATACGACAGACACAATACTGTGTTTACTTTGGCTGCTTTGGGCTCTGACAGGTAAGGACAGCGTCCCAGGTATACTGAGAATAGCTGACAGGAGCACATTTTCTGTTAATGGCCCGCAAACCAAGGATTTTATTGCTTGAATTAATGGTAATGTGCGCGTCAATTGGCGACTCTATTTCTCGCCTCCTCCTCCACTCATTGCGAGGAACACCACAATGCCAATCATCCACCAATACCTGTGCATGGTTAGACCCATAAGTCGTTCCGGAGAGGGGAAATACGACGTACTTTTGTAGGAATGTCTTCTCCTCTTCCTCAACCTTCTTGCCCTCTGGCGACAGAACGACTGGCTTGTTGAGCTCCGGTTGCTTGCCCTTGAGCGCCGGCAGCACCACAGCCTGCGGCCCAAAGTCTCTCGTCTGGCCCGCATCAATCCTTACTCCCTTCAGCGCTGCGCTCAGGACCTCTCCATTCTCATCGATGGACAGTATCAGATTGGGAGAGAAGCCCTTGCCGAAGTTGTCCACCGAAGCAACAGTCGTGCCAGATATCCAGCTCGAAGATTTTGGGTCGTACAGCCCTACGCGGACCAGCTGTGTAGACTCTGGAATTTCAGGAGCTTCGTAGGAGATGATGGAGGAGGATGTGGTAAGGCTGGGATCGTATGCGAGCTCTGCAAGGAGGGTCGGCGACTCGGAGTTTTCGACGGGCTGGATATAGATGTGTGCGGTGTGGAAGTTGGCCTGGACAAGGGCCGCGGCGCACAAGGCCGACAAGAAAGCTATGCCGCGCATGATATCTGCACAGATGAGTTGCAGCTTGAAGCGAAAGGCGGAGAGATCGGATTGCTGAAGCTTAAGCTGAGGTCGGCTCAGGGACCGTACAATGTCCTTAGCTGGCCTTGATTGCGATAAGGTAACGCCGCAGTGGAGCTTTGCAAGGTACCTCGCTCAGTACCGAATACGGCGAGGTACCTGGCAGATGGAGATTGGTGGGCTTCTCCAGCACGTGCCGCGGTCCCAATACTGGGACGTCATACAGCATCTAGAATGCAGATTCCATCTACAAAGCAGTACGGACCGGCCAAGGAAGCACCTGCCTCTATCATTTTCTTTTGCTACATGTCATCTTTGTCCCAACAATGAGGTTCCAGCGTGTGGCAAAGAAGGCAACCTGTTGCACGAAACCCCTTCCGTGCTACTAGCGAGAATGCTACGCCAGCAGAACAACCCTAAGCTGTTCATGGCTGGCTCAACAGCTACAAACACACACCCACGAGAAGGACGCATCACGATTTGCCCCAGCATCCCAGCCATCATCCAGCAGGGCGGTCGGCATCCCGTGTTTACCGCCTCAAAAACATGGGACATCCCTTCAGTTGTGATCATGGGGCAATGGCCCCCGGCCTCTTCTCGTCATCCTGCCAAGTGGCTGCATGCACACGCCCCTTCAGCTTGCGTTCGCGGCCAAGATGGCTTGGCCTAGAGCCAATAATGTGTGCCAAATGGTGTGCCATCACTGCCATCTCGTCGCACCATATCCATGAACTGCTCTATCGGGCTGCAATGAGCGCCCCCAGGATTCACCCTAACCTGCCCTGCATACATGGGAAGGCTTTCTGCGGATTCGTGGGCTGAATCTTCGCTGGAAAGACAGTAGCAGTTGGAATCACATTGTTCACGAAGTAAGCAAGATCGCGACATTCTACACCGCAGAGGGACATCGACACCCCCTACGCCTGGACTGCCGAGGTGATTCTGTGGCCAACAAGTGTGGTCGGGAACAGGAATGCGCTCATGATCCGTAATCTCCCGCTTCGTTTGGAGCTGATTTGTGGCTGGTAAGTGCTGGTCTAAGGCTGGGGAGTTTGATCCCGTCCCGCCTCTCTTCCATAGAGAGATGATCGTGAGGATCAAATCTGCATAGACTTACTCGGGATTGCTATTGTTGTACCAATGCACTAGCGCTCCACTGTTGGACAAAGTTACAAAAAAGTGAAGAGAAATGACGTTACTTGTGAAGTTTTGCGATTGGCAAAGATATATTGGTGGTATATTGATATGGATGCTATGAAAAGTACATATTCTGTTGTCATCAGCTACCTATTTGAAGAAGCAATGGCGACAATAAAAACGACAACACGATATATATCCGCATATATGGAAAACCAAGTGAAAACAAACAACACGAAACTTGCGAAAAGATTCACCCTTGCTACACAGCCTCTGCCTTTTCAGAACACATGAGCCTCGCTGTATGAGAAGCTGCTACGGTCTCCAATATTCTTTATAACCCTCCGTCTAGATAATCCCGAGCGAGGCATGTTGAGGCGTACATGTCTATGACGGCGGGCAAAACGCGAAGAAAGACTGTGGCCGAGTCTTGAACGATTCCCCCCAAAGCTATCAGAGTGATGAATGTCGCCATTAATGTCTGTGATAAATATTTATGCCTCCATTTCGGCTGGCTGAAAAGGCGAAGCACGCAGTACCAGTGTATAAGCGTTGTTGTCGCAACCAGTATCAGGAACATCTCGCAGGGATGCCCTCGATTTCCGAGCCAAAGCAAGTGCTTTTGATTCCGCAGCGCAACAGCGTTGCATATCTATCGTCATCTTAGCTCAGAGCGGCGAAAAACGTTGGAAATGTCTGTTCCTACTGGATATATCCTCCAACATCCCCCGTTCTCAGATCCTCTCCTGACTTGCTCTGGGATGATGTTCAGAGTCGCTGTTAACCCCCAAGCAGCCACGGTGTGGTATATATAATGTTTGTGATTCTCGTTGTCTGTCGTATGCTCAATTGCTGCATGGACTTCTGGCGCCCTCTGTTTCTGCTCTGTGGCCGCTGGGTACGAGATGTCTGTCTCATGGCGTTCAAACATAGGCCTAAAAAACGTATCGAAAGTGGGCTTTATATTAAGGCTGGAGTCTTTTTCTCATTGAAAGATGATAGAAGATATATCGTACGAAACTTTGGTAATGTGCATTGAGTGTCGCAAAGAAGAAAAAGAAGAGGCTAACGCATTTCCTTAATCACCAGGCCTCCATACGAATACAAAACAAGTGCAAGATTTGTTGGGGGCCTTGCTGGAATACCCCTCATTTCCCGTAGGATTCAGAGCCAACCAACTCGGCCATGGGAGTGAGGCGATCATCCTGAGGTCTCAGCCACCACGCTACGTCTAGTTGCCTTACACCCTTTCTTCCATCATCTTGACCGCGTACCATACTTGTTTGTTTCCAACTTACTTCATCATGGGGGGCGTCCAACTTATTTCAGGAGGCTGGGAAAGTAATGCGAGACGAACTGCTTTGGGATAACCCCCATCCAACTCGCCCTCCAACCCGCCATCGACAAACCCGCCATCAAGATTCCCGCCTACCAGACACCCGACTACAAGACACCCGCCCTCAAGACAGCACCCCTCCCCCGTCTCTCCGCTCTCGGGCTTTAAGCTGGCAACGAAGTCATCTAGATACCTGACCCGTTTTCAATCTCTCGTTATCAACGTCTCCTTTTCTTTTTACTTCCACCTTTCTCAAAACCTTCTTCATACATGTACCCGAAAGAGTGTCCTCCATCTTCCATCTGGCCTCGCTTCCTTACTTGCATCTTTTTATCAATACTCTTATTCATATCTTCCCTGAGCTACTTCACGTATAATATTTCATCCTTTGGGTTCGTTGTGTTTCACCTTCCATCATTTGTTTGTGTCAAAAGTAGCATATTTTGCATCGCCTTTGTGATATCTCTTCAACCTTCTCATCTCTTGCAACTTTCTTTAATCTTCAATCTGCGATCCTTTTCGAATTAGCAGTCAAAACGGGATAGCTTGATCAGTATCTGCGATGATCTTTAAACAATGGTTATTGCAGATCAATATTTCTCTTTCGGCGTTGGTCCTCCTACCAGGAAGTCAACAAAAGTATCTTTCCTGGGCGCCGGCGGCGACATTTGCGTAAGTAATCATCACCTCGTTTTTCTGACTCCATCACCCATCTAATTCCTACGCAATCAATAGAATACTGGCCGCGTGGGGTCTAACTGGAGTTTGTCTCGCTTTTCTTCACAAGCGGTATCTTCTAGAGTGAGTTTGTCTGTGTGCCTATTACTATTTACATAACCCTGGAACAGAAAATAGCGATAGATTGCCTAATCTTTACTGCAGAAATCCTCGGCTGGCGATTTATTTGACCTTACAAGTGTGGCTACCATTTTTGATGGTACTACAGCCGTCGCTTGCAGAAGCCATCCTGCTTTTGCCTCTCTCAATCACAGCCGCCATGATATACCTAGCAGCACCGCGGGGCAATCAAGCCTTGGACAATTTGCAGCTTCCCATTCCAGTTCCTGGGCCGCGGAGCCTACGATACCACCGGCACTCCCGAGCCACTCTCCCACCAAGCGGCCAAAATTTCTGAAGGATCAAAAAATCTTCTATCTCTACAACTACTATACAGACGAAATTCATCATTATTATGATGATAGAATTGGCAAAATCGCACACCAACAGTTTATACGGAGCGAATTTCTGCTTCAATTCATCCAAAATATGACCAACTCTCTGGTTAAGGGTATATATGCCGGGTTTGTTATGGTTGAAAGCAAGTGCATAGAAGTTGACAAAGAACAAGCCTCGCATGTCGAGTCGAAGTTTGCTCCAAATAACAGCAATATGCACAGTCTAATTGCGCTGCAGAGCACTCTACTCCACGAACACCATGACTTTTTTCTCGCAAGCCAGCATCCTTCAGCAAACCCCGCACCGCGGCGCCTGGCATAGAAATATGCAATGCCAGCTCGCATGTGGCGCCACGGCATACATACGTTTCTTGAGCTGCTCCGCCATAGCATGCCTTATTACATGGAGCATATGCTTGCCTTCATCTACCTTGCATACACTATGATGGCTCTCTTATATGAGACTGTTCCAGCTCTTGAAGACACTTGGATTGAGTGCCTAGGAGACCTGGGTAGTTACAGGATGGCGATTGAGGATGACGATATTCGAGACCGAGGGTTCTGGTCATACGTTTCTCGACTATGGTACTATACGGCGGCTGGGCACGATGCTCTTCGTTGATGAAAGGCCTAGGCCGCCGTCCCTTGAACCTGGTATTACAAGGCCTCCATCCGTGGGCCGGCTGTAACATCACCTAGCTATACTGGCGCGGCCGAATGCTATGCAGCAACTATTCTACTACCGAAAGGCGTCAGTTTGTCAACCTCACCACCTAAGATACGTATCCAATAGATACGGTCGTCACCAATCCTCTGAATTACTGCGACTGTTCGTCACCGGTTCAGGCTGGCCCGACGCCGCCTTTATAACCGAGCATGGCCTCCAGTATATCACGTACTTGAAGCAGTATTCATGAATACTCTATACACGCTCTATAACAGCCATTAATATCGATAACAGTCAACCTACTAGCTGCTTCACCTTTAGCCACAGCTCGCCGCTCTCGTGGACAATGCATACGAACGATATGAAGATCTGAAGATTTATCGCACTTTATACCTTGTCCTTATGGGCGCTTTCTACATGTCACCGGGCAATCCCATACCATCGTCCTGACGCCTTACATTTACCTTTGAGTTAGCATCGCAGGTTTGTTGGGCCATGCTGGCAGAGAAAACCAACCTTACTGGAGTTGGCTACGGATTTAACCTCGTTAGACAAATCGATTCCGCTATTATGATGGAACGAAGCGAAGCCTCAACCATTCCCAGAGGACTATGATTTGCGTGGCCTATTATCGACTCGAGAGGCTTTAAGGCGGTCATTTTGATGGCAGTACGCTGTTGACGACGATGAGAAGATGTTGGAACTGCCATCGCTGCTTCAATCCGCAAAGAGCGTCCATGGCTAGCTTGCCTAAGTAACGCTTAGATTCGACTCTTAGCTGGCTCTACATTGGATCATAGCCACTGGTGAACACACCGGCGAAAACTCTTCCTGGAGGCCTCGGCCAATTTTTTGCCTCGTGAAAGATGGGCACCGCATACTTGTTTATGTTACGATACTAGGACGCCTCTCATCAACATGGCATGTCCTTGAACAACTGAAAGCCGCGTCATCACATATCGCATGGCTTCCCTACGATACCGAACCGCAATATTTCCCTGACGACTTCCTTACTAACGCTTTATACCTCTATGTATCACGATGAGCATGGGACAAACTCTTCACAACATACACATCGCCGATTATAGAACACGATGATTCAAAATCATCGTCTTTACGAATATTGCATACCATAGCGCTGCTGTTCTTGCATCCTTTCTGCACAAAGATGCATTACATACCATAAAGATAAAGAACTTTTCTTCTTCTTCTTCTTTTTTTTTAACACTGGCTCCAGAAATTCTCTTCGAAATTCTGATTTCTTTTCACGGCGTTTGGGATTAGCTATTGAAATGCTTTTACATCAATTGAGGGATGCGCAGCTCAGAGCTGCATCTCATAACGTGGCCGGCTGTTTACTTCTTCCCCTGCTATGAAGAATTTGCAAAAAGTACATAAAAGACTTTAAATTGTATATAGCTTTTCAAGTACATACCCCATTGAGGATTATTAGCTAGGTATTTTGTGTTTAGTACAAAGCATGAATAGCGTGTCAAAGAATTCAGTTACGTTACACTTAAGCAGATGCTATTATGACCGCTGAGGTGATGCCGAATATGAACGACGCACCGGGGAATCGGGAAGTTTGAGCAAACGTCAAAGCGCAAGTGTCAGACTGCCAATTCTGTCTAACGATAAGTATGTCTCATCAAAATATGGACCTACAGCCCATTCAACGCATATTTCCTCAAGTATCTCAAAAAAAAACACCAGTCAAATTTTTGCAAACTTCCTGTGGTAGTTTCCTGCCCAAAAGGCGAATGGAGGCCGCCGTTAGCCTGCCAGTGGAAATTTATATTCGATCAAAGGCCACGCACCACCCCTCCCTCTACTGCCTATCTAAACAGCCGCTTTCAACGTAGTTTCTGCTCTGCCACTTATATAAGGATGTATCCTGCGTTGATGCCCAAGCATCCACAGTATGATGCTATAACTCGACCGACGAGGAGTAAGCACAGGTAGGTAATTTTGATCGAGATATTACAGTGTAATAACGAAAGTAAATCTCACTGTCCTTCGAATAAGAATACAGGCCAATTATGTATTTTCACAACCTGCCATAGAACGCCGTATCTGATAGATAATAATGTTTGTACTGCAAATTTATATACTGGCTGAAAATGCTACCGTATGTCGCACTGTGCTGACGATTGCGCTTATTCGCGTTGCCATCCTTGCCTCAGGTGCCTTTAGGTAAGTCCTCCTCTATCCATGACCTCTAGATCGCAAACCCTTTCTCTGTTCATAGGCGCAGTCAAAGACAAGACAAGCGGAAGCATACACATCAATTACTATCGGTAAAAGCCCAAGAAAGAGGATGGTTGGATCTCGAACGAGTGTTGCGATCGGTAGGAGCGTGGTGAATGTAGCCACGATGATTCCGGGCACAAACTTGTCTTTCCACCGGCGCTGACAGAAAAGGCTAAAAATGCAGCTCCAATGCAAGCAAGTCAGGACTGCGACTAGTAGAAGACATATTTCATATAAATTCTGTTGTTTGAAGAACAAGGGCACGGGTATGTGCTCCTGTAATTCCCATCCATTGCAGCCTTCTGTATTAGCCATGGCATGTTGCAACACACACGTGGGATCGCCTTACTTACAGAATATGCCGTCCAGCACGATTTGTTTTCGGACTCTTTGCTAAACTGAATGGCGGCAGTGTTCAATGCTGCCGTAGCACTGCACGCTGCGAGAATATTATACGCGGATGCTGAGTCACTACCACTCCTGATACCGTCTATGTGGAAATCGTATGTCCATAGCGGTTCTCGGACAGTCAAAGGTTGAATGGCCGACTCGACTTTATTGGTCTGCATTCAGATAGGTGCTCTTTCGTTCGCATCAATCTAAAATCACGGCAGCGTTAACATTTGGGTTGCTGAATGCTATGGAATTTTCATGAGAATGGGCTCAATACATTCAAGGTGATATTTCGCATAAGCGAGTTGGAGTTTGAGAGATATTACGGCTGGGTATCTGCCAAGTGCCTAGGCGAGAGTCGGCTGAGGTTTTTAGAATGAGTGAAGTGTCAAAGAGATGCTATAAAATTCATACGCTATCAGAACGTGTGTTGGGGATCCAGGAATGGGAGACAAAGTTCGAGATCTTAACAAGATTATATATGGTTAAATTTCCCCAGCAAATGGACCGAAAATTCTCTTTTCCACACCGAAGAGCAGACGGCCAATTACCGCCGACCATGCATTTCCAGCCAATTGCCAGTGATACAACCTAACGCGGCTGAAGAGGCCTCCAATCTATCTATTACTAACATCAGGCATACTTTAAGGCTTCCTTCATCAATTGACGATAAGCCTTGGCTGAATTCTCAGACCAATAGGACTATTTCGCGAAATCTGCAAGGAGGCATGTGAAGCATACGTGGATAGAGTGTCACCGAAGCTTCGCCACTCTGCTAGGATTATTAGCATTGCCACGCTAGTATTGTGTTATTTTAAGATCATATAAGCAATTTTACTTCACCAGATTCGAATACTTGAATGTATGAACAATTGACTACTAGTACATAGAGGGGGGAGTGTACGGCATATTGTTATACTGATTAATTTCCATCAGAAGTAGATGAATTAATTTTACCTTTCTGCAAAATAATCCTCATGTGTTTAGTGCTATAATTCATTAAGCTTTATTCCTGATTTTCAAGTCAACAATCCTCCGGCGGTGGCGGAGCTTGGCGAGGCTCTGTCGTGGCCGCCACGTAGCACGCTGCAATGCAGCAACCCTTGCAGAAAGGTCAATTGATAGGCAAAAAAATGTTTTGAACGACAAGCGTAAAATAAAGCCCATGGCAAGGCACAGTGGAAAGGCAGTTTTTACGTCATGTAATGGTTAGCGTCCTGGTTCGGTGAAGATAGGTCTAGAGACGAAAGTGAAGCTCCTCAATTCTTTTCTTCAGGGAATCAGATGTTTACTCTTACACCTTCCAGCTCTTTTCCATATCTTTCAGCGGTAAGATTTTTTTGCTGAAATCTAGTTCAAGTGAAAGCTCTTTTTACTTCTTGTTTACTGACCGTTTGCTCCTCATGACTTTGTTTAGTTCATAACGCGCTCTATCCACGACTTCGATAGGTATAGATTTTGTCAATACACTGATAGTTTCCTGCTCTATGCCTCTGATCTTGTTTTTTAGTGATTAGAAAAAGTGGCCGTCCTGTGGTATTCTTCCTCCCATCTATTCGCCAAATATCCTGCTCGAACCTCTATGGTACATATATTTGGGTGTCTTGCCCTCCTCTGAGTCCGATATCGTACGGTATACTTGGATACAAGTTCATTGGAGAATAGTTGGATGAGCCTTACAACTCTCATCAGCAAAAATATCACCTCAAGAGCAGCCTGTGGCTTGCACTAGATGGATTGGCAGATGATATCAGTTCCGCCGTCGACGATGCAAAGATGGTTGCTTCAAGCCAACGTTTGCCTCTCTCTGCTGATTCTCTTGTCAGGAAGCCAACAGGATAAGGTCTCTTGGGCACCGCCAATGACGTTAGTGTGTGTTTTTTCCGCCTTCTTTTCCTTCTCGTCTCTATGTTTGCATAATCTTGGGTATACATTGCTTACACATGCAATAGGATGCTGCTATCTTGGGGCTTAACGGGAGCTTCACTTATTCTCTTCCACAGTGGGAGTCTCCTAGTGTGAGTTCAGCTCAATATTCTATGGGTACCTGTATAACGTGCATGGGTATGCCCAAGCCATACATGTGGCTAACCACAGTTACAATGTAGGAATCGCCCACGGATGATCTTGTATCCTCTCCCGATTTGGCTACCGTTTGTGATAGCGCTACGAACAAGCCTCGCAGAAGCTATCCTTCTCCTGCCGCTATCAATTACAGCAGCAATGATATATTTAACGATGCACCCAGTTCGGCTAGAAAATGATACACTCAGGCTCCCGGGTCCCGTCACTGTATCTAGCCGCCGTAGGCAACGACGATTTCGTCGGAGTCGGCCACGGCACTAGACTCAGACATTTCAACAATATTTTGATTTAAAATCGAGAAGCATCTGAATTTCAACGATTGATCGCCCTCGGGGGCATGTAGCTTCTATGATGTAGAGCCAATAGGTATATATAGACATCAATTTTTGTTTAAATATGATTACGCCCTACTAGACAAGTGTATTGCAATTAGTACCTACTACTTACCTAGGTAGGTAGGTAGGTACCTATGTACATGTACTTTAGTATGTACCTAGGTATCTAGCAGTTTTCAACGCCCAACACCAAGATACAAAGTTTAATATACACCAAGTGATCAAAAATAGGATAAAACTAGAAATTCGACCAATTGTCATTCAGTATCTCAATTGTAGTTAATGGTGGTGATAGTTTATTGTTATTGTTTTCCGCTGAAGAAGTAAGTTTAAAAGCTACATGTACTTCTCTCAGGTTGGTACCTTTGCAAACCTGCAATGACTCGACTACAATCTCCTACATTTTTGTTCTGCTACGAAGAGCCAATATCCATTAACAATCCATTTCGCGCTCTTTTCAATCCTTCTTTTCACTCTCATTTCTCATTTCAACGTATATGCCTATACGTCATGTGTTCGTTGCTTTTATAGAGCCCGTCGGCAATTAGTTACTGGAAAGTAATCGGTCGCTTTTTTGTTTTTTCACTTAAAGGAAAAAGTATATCGATATCGATATTAATTATTAGAGAAGCAACAAATGTAGGACCATAGGTGATGGTTCTGAGAATGAATGGTGTTGAAAGCCTAGAAGCCTGTTTCTCCAACTGCATGGATGCTGATTCATATACAAGTGGTTATTGATGTCTACATAGGTACGCCAATATAGCACAGAGAACATTGAAATTAATATTCAATTCATATATACATACGCATGCATTATCTCCACCTCGAATTCTACCAAAATCTCGTCCCATATCCAACATGCAAGAGTAACAAAAAATGCTCCATTTACAACACCCATAAAACGCCAATGCCCTTCCTCCGCCGTGGTCCCCCCCTCCCACCAACCATGCTCTGAATAACGAATCCGAGTTACGCGTGTATATGTATGTTAACAAAGTGGAAAACAAAAACAGAGTGCAAAAAAAAGCCCTTTTCCTTCCTAGTAACTTTGACTCCACAAGTTTATGCAAGGAGATATGAGTTGTGTGACCAGAGATGCATGTCGTGAAGCAGCAAAAAAGGCCAATGAGATGCGGCTGGCGAGAGAAAAAGAGAAAGAGAATAAAGTAAGTGAACACAAAAAAAATTAAGGTGCAATGGTGAAAAAGGTGGGGTATCATTGATATAAGCCGCTTCTCGACGTTGGCCCATCCCGACTAGAGGGAGGTTTCAGAATGTATGTTCGTCAATCCCCTTTGGCGCTCTTACTGCTGCGCAGCATCTTCTTCGTTGTCATCGTCGTCAAGTTCGTCGTCGTCGTCATCATCGCTCAACCCATCAGACTCCAGTTCATATCCCGGAGCCCTCTGGACGAGTCCCTGATAGTAAGCCACTAAGATTTCTGGATTCGGCACGATTCTCCAATCCACCCGGTAGAGGAACTCGAGCTCGAGCAATCGCAGTTCAGCCACACGCACACCGCCCACTCGCGCGTAGGTGGTATTGTTCCAAAAAGAGTCAGAAAGGCCCTTTGCAGCAACGGTGGCTGCAGTTATTAGGAAGCGGTGAACGGTGAGGGTGTTGATGGTGAATTCCGGGTAAAGAGCGCAGAGTCGGTCAATGTAGTAGACCATGGCCAAAAGAAGCGGTGGCGTGAGCGTGGCATGTCTAGCCAGCCGATGGAGATAGTCTCTGACCGAGATGCCAGGGGGAGTTCTGAGATTGACGAATAGCAGGTTAGACACGCACAGACAAAATAATAATAATGGGAAATTCCCCGAGCTTCTACATACCTCGAGTGAAACCGTGTTAGGCCACCGCTTGAAATGCGAATTGCGTCATTGGTGGCAATCAACTCTCCCAGCATATGTGCAATCAGCTCGACCATGTGTTCGACCGGGCAAAACTCATATTTGTTGGGCAAAACACGGGGAGGCTGTTCCTCGGGCCTGGCTCGTTTCGGTGCTTGAGGAGAGGCGGACCGCTGAGCCTGAGCCTGAGCCTGAGCCGCATCGGAACTCGAAGCAGCGGCAGCAGGCGTTAAAGATTCATCTACAGAAGAAGCTTCAGCGGTGGCGGCAAGTCGACGCTTGTTAGGCGACAGAGCGTTGTACAGCCGGGCTTGGGCGGGCGAGGTTCGGCTCGGGCTCTCAGAGTCGTCGATGCCCATGTTCGTAGATGTCGTCACCGTCGTCTTGGTGGTTGTGGTCGTGGGAGCTGCCAGCGGAGAGGCAGAGGAGGAGGAAAAGGCGCGGGCAGGGGACCGGATATCGCTGGTCGAGGCCCCGGTACGGCGTGAGCGGCCTGGCGACAGCGCTGACGAGGATGCCGACACGGAGACGGCTTCGGACTCTGTCGACAATCGACGGCGCAGATAGGCGGGCCTGGGGCTCACGGCTGGGAGCTGCGACGGGTGGGACGAAGCAGACTCCTGCGAGGATCGCGACGGCGCATTGTGGAAGCCGGAGGGCGAGGCGTTGGCGGAGGGAGAGAGAATGGGGGACGTCTTCAACATGGTCTCCTACGGCGCATCATCGGAGCGCGGCGGTGCTCAGGTCGTTGGTTCTGTTTATGAGGGCTGTTCTGTCCTTTCTGTATCTTTTCTCGTTTCTATTTTTTTAACTGCCGCTGCGATGCTGCTGCGATCGAGGAAGAAGCCACGACCAGGACGCTCGACTGGCGGGACCCGATATCAAGGAAAAAGGTCACCAGCCGTCCTAAATCGGAACAGCCGGCGGTAGGCGGCCGGGCAGCGGCTTGCTGGCGAAATGCAGTGAGACGCAATCTTGAACAACGTGCAACGGCCGGATCTCGACTTTTTTTGGGGGCGAACCCAAAAGGCTCACCGAAGCACCGAGCCAGGAAGATCTTATAGTAATAGTCGCAGGTCTAAAAAGCGATCCAGCGAATGGCGTGAATCGGCCGGCGGGACGGACGCAGGGCGAAAAGACGGAGGGGGTGATTAGCGGATTAGGTAAGTATCGATACTTTGCACCCGGAGGGAAATGAGTGGGATTGGGGGCGAGCAGAGCCGCTTCGAATTGCAGGTGTCCAGTGCTATTGCTTCTTTACTGCTGTTTTGTCGCACTGTAAACTTGCTGGATGGCACCGAGAGAGGTGATGTGTGTTGATGTTTGTTTGCTTTTCAGGCTGTTATAAGAGATGTTACGTTGAGCCAAGTTGGGCCAGTTGCAGCAGCACCGTCTCGCCGGTATATGTACTTGTACACGCAGATTCGGCAGCAGTGAGACGGATCCCCATCATCAAAAAGCCTGCAACAGCGCTCGGGATCGGATCCTCGTCGCGGTGATTGGTCAATGTTCCAAAAAGTGATCCGACCGGGATGCTTGGGGGCGGGACCGGAACGTTGGTGGCTGTTTTGACATGCAGAGGGTAAAAAAGAGCAAAGGCGAGGCAAAAGGCGAGAAAGAGTGAGGAAGAAGAAAAAAATTGCCATCAAGTTTGTCCCTCTTTTTTGGGAAAAACTGCTTCTGAGACCTAAAACCAAAACTAAAAAGTACGATGGAGCATGCAATGCTACAAAGGTATTGACCTAATCGGCCTGTCCGACTAATTCGGCCATTGTCTGGGCTCATCCTTGGCCAAGACCCAGAAGTCTTGGTACTACGAACTTGGCGCCGGTGGAGCAGAGTCGCAAAACACACTGCGGGAAAAATCTCTTTGCTTTCCGAAAACGGCATTTGTTCGGTGTCGTTGACTGTCATTAACTTATAGAAAACAGCGTATAGGCCAAAGAGAAACATTGTTCATCTTGATCAGTTTTTTTTTTTTTTTTTTTTATAACAGTGAAGCATGTAGAATACATAACTGGTATTAAGAACCAGACATTTCCCTAACAGCCTCCCTTCCACTCCGTCTCTCTGCTATTTCTTAGTCTGACCGCGTCTTTTGACTCGCGTGCGTCCCGCATTGTATGTACAAGTACGCCGGTCCGGATGCTAGAAGGCGCTTCTCGTCTCATCACTGTGGGCTTTATCACGATGTTTATCTGGTACCAGGTACTCAACATCATGTCGACACCACTACTACAGGCTACTGTTAGACGAAACTAGCAGCAATCACAATACCCCAGACTGACCCCAGACCACGCCAGCGAGGGGGGCATCTTGCGGGATCAGAGCAAAAAAAGAGATGAGTTGTCGTTTGGTTGATGCAGGGTCGTGGCTCAACGAGCACCTGTTGTTGCGAGCTCGTGGTGCAAAGAAGCCCGGTGATTCGTCAGCGGCAGCGGCCCGAGTCCAAGACACGGATTTCAGACATGTCTAACATCAGCGGGAGTTTTTATTTTTGATTTGTGGCGGCTGCGAGAACTAGCAGGGGGAAACAGAGAGCTCTCTGCCCTACTGGTGCCACCGTACTATGCTGCTTATTAGTGCTGGCACTGCCACTGGTACTGTTTGGACGAGGTCATGTTTCGTTTTGCCGGCGTGGTTGTCTGGAGCACTAACATGCGGAGCAAGGTCCAGGGTGCGTGTCATACTCGCGTGTGAAATCCCGCTTGGCCCTTCGATATCTGACTTGTGAAAACTTACAGACTTTCGCAGCAGTATTTACATTAAACGCAGTTGACGATAACGGCTGTGGTTGAGACGGAAGAGGGGAAATGCCGCACAAGAGCTGAGGCGAGCTTCTCGTTCCGGAGCTCGATGCCGGCAGTCGGAGCGGATGGTCCGCGGTGTTTCTGATTGCGTCAGGAAGGCCTTGCCCAATCAAGCGCAGTGCACGATGTTCATTATCGATGCTTGATATGTATGTAATCGATATGCTCAAACAGCACCGACAATCGTATATAACAACTGCTGGTGAAAAATGAAGCAATTTTAGCGTCCTGAGTACGTTTGCGGTCAGTCTTCTATGGAGTGCAAGCTCTGGTAGGTGACGGAGCAGCTGCCACGTTCTACGGGGGACATGCAACATGCACGTATTCATGAACCTTAAAACCAAAGCCAGGGGATGCCATGTGTGCCTACTCTAGAATACAGGCCGGCAGAGGTCATAGCCAGCCACGAGTTCTTATCAGCATATCAAGCCTCTTGGCTTATCTCAAGATAGTTGGTCGTCATGGCCGCAATCCTTCACAAGATATTAAAACCCATTACTCCAAGAACCAATTCTTCTAGAATCCTTCCATTGCCATTTTTCCCACTTACCTAATAGCTAACCTGCTCTCCGCTTTCGTCACTAACTGGCCACAAGCGGTAGCCGCAAATCTCGCCATTTTATGGGGACATCTACATACATACATAGAAAAAAGGTTAGCAGAGATCCGATAAGATAACACATTGCACGTGCCACGGCATCGGACTTGCCTTGGCGTGACATCTCGTCAGACTGCAAGACACCAGAGACGCCGTATCAACGACATTGAATTTGTGTATTCATGGATTGATATCGCCAATTTACTTACGCCTCTGCGCCGTCATTACTATTCCCATCATCTACTTACGCGCTTGCCATCTCTTGCTCTGGACGCATCATTGCCACGATTCTTGAGTATTTCTTTGCTTGCTTGCGCCTCACGTCTTACTTGGCTTCACGAAGCTCTGCCAGCCGAATTCGCCGGAGCCGATTCGGGATTCCCTTGGTTTGATCGATTGCATCGGCATCATAGTCCTTTCCGACAGCTCATGCGCAGCTCTGCACGCAAGGCATAGTCGCCAATCTTGACTCAGTCTCACCAGTCGACAGCAGGCGAGATCCCGGCGCTCTGCTCTTCTCGGCATTCTCCGCTATAGATCCCACTGCTACCCGCTTGTGTATCCGGCACTCCCATCCCCATGGCGCGACCCCAGAACTCCCCGATCCTAGCTCAGCTGCGAAACGCCAAAACGTGCCCCGAGCAGTCGACAGCTCTACAAGCTCTGAAGAATGAGATCGTCGGACACCACCAGAAGAAGGAGACGTGGGTCAGCCTGGGTGTGCTGGAGCCCGTTATAAGGACCTTGACCTCGGCTCGTCCTGCGGCCAAGTCGAGCACAAGCAAAGATGCTAGGCCACAGGCGTCGGGCCGCCGGCCTCTGTCAGAGGAGGACAACGTGAGGCTGCAAGCTTTGCAGATCATCACAAGCTTCGCCAAGGGTATGCATCCCGAGATCCGTCACGTCAACTCCTGCAGGACCCCTGCACCTTGCCTCGATCCCCCTCCACTTAAACAGCTGATACTGACGTGTGATACTACTTTATTTGCAGGCGGCCCTCCCTTTCTACCGTCCGTCCACGCCTCCCGAGCCCTTCCAGCCATCCTCGCATGCACATCTCCCAATGCCAACCCGCCGCAAATCGTCGTTGCTGCTCTCAAGGCCGTTAGCGGCATTGCAGATGCAGCTGCTCTGGCATCGCCGTCATCAGAGCTCGATAGCCTTGCTCTCGCCGACGCAATATTTATGTCCCCGTATCATCTCGAATCTCTATGTCTTATACTTGCTTCTACGTCATCAAGCCGCTTGCTGCAGATTCAGGTTGAGCTTGTGGCCAGCCTGGTGTCTCGCATCTGCACAGAGGAAAGGCATCAACAGGCTCTGATCCAGTCTGGTGTTTTAGATATGCTCGCGTCCCGCTTGGCCAGCTTCGCCGTCAGCCAAGGCCATGTTGTTCCAGGAGCTGAGGCACAGGCTTACAGCGATGGGTTGTATGAAGCTTTCCCTAAAGAAGCTCCTCATGGAACACAAATTGGTCCTGTGCTTGCGGCGGTCGCGGCCATCCTTGGAGAGTCGAAATACAGGGCAACTCGGCTCATCAACTCTCCCGCCATCCTTGCTGTTTTCCCTTCCATTGCCGTTGAAACCAGCGGTCTGAGCGGCGCCAAAATCCAGGGCTCGACGACGGTCATGGATTACTTGCTGCCTCAGGTCCCCCCTCCTTCTTCCAACGCTCGTAGTCCACCTCAGTCTCATCACCATTCTTCCACTAACACACCAGACCGTCCCGAATCACGAACTCCGAGTCAAACGCCCGGCCTTAGGCTTGTCTCTCCTGCTGTCTTGGAGTCGGGTTTGGACAACTCATCTGATGAGGTCGAGAGCCCTTTCATCCCCTGGCTGATTATACAAGCCAGGTCACTATCTGGCTATGGCAGACTCATGGCAGTCACTATTCTGACAGCACTCTTCAAAGCTGGACTAGGACGCAAAGGATGTAGAGAAACCAGTCTTGGCATGCTAATCGTGCCAATTCTCCTCGATTTGATCACGAAAAACGACAAGGACGAGGCTGAATCACAGAGCGCCTTTGATGAAACCCAGCATCTGATTTTAGAGAAAGCACCGGCAACATTAGCCCGTCTCATCACTGACAGTGAACTGCTCCAAAAAGCTGCTTACGATTGCGGTGCGGTCAAGACGTTGACAAAACTTTTGAGGCGAGCTTATCGCTCTGTACCCATCTTAGAGGCGACGAAATATTGGTCTCCCCAGCCTGATACCGATATGGATGTTGAAGGTCCATCTGCATCTTCACAATTGGGGCAGCTTGGCCAGGATCCGCTGCTCTCGCATCGCGTAAGGCTAAGAGAATCGACACTCAAAGCCATCGGCGCCGTAGCTTCTGGAAAGGAAGATTATAGGAAGGCCCTGGTCGAAGAAGACTTTATTCCCTATGTTATGGAGTCCCTAACTGAATACCCCAAACGCCCCAAACAAATCAAAGACCGGCTCAAGGATAAACCCAGCGGAGAGACTGAACAACAGCCCAACGTCTCATCAGCATATGGCGCCAATCCATTATCCGTCATCGTCGCGGCGTGCCATGTCATCAGGATGCTCTCGCGATCCATTAGCATATTGCGAACGACTTTGGTTGATCACTCGGTTGCCATGCCCGTCTTCAAGTTCTTAAAACACCCAGACGTTGACGTCCAGGTTGCTGCCACAGCTGCCATTTGTAACCTAGTTTTGGAAGCCAGCCCAGTCCGCGAAGTTTGTCAACCCCAGTTCTTCTCCCCCTTTGCAATGACATATGTCCTCTCTTCCTTTCAGAGTCAATGCCGCCCACAATACAAGACTTTCAAGCTAACAGTTACTAGCTATTGGCCGAAAATGGTGTTATGAAGATCCTCTGCGAACACGCCCACTCCGATAATCCTGCTCTGCGGCTTAATGCATTGTGGGCCCTGAAACACCTTGTTATTGCTGTGAGCTCCGATCTAAAGCGATCTTGCTTGGAGCAACTTGATCCTGATTGGTTGGTACAACTTATTTGTGATGACGGTCAGGGCGCTATTTCATATAACACTCAGCCTGGCCAGCCGTCGGGTGATGATGTTGATGTTGATGTGGATGAAGAGATGGATGCGTCGCCCTCCGACGAACAGGTGAGATGGATGTTTGCAGCAAACGGCAATCCACAAAAGCTGGATGCTTCGAGATCAACCAAGCTACGCCAAGCGGAAGACAAGCTCGCCAGCTTGCGTGAAAATGAGCTCAACTCGCAAAGGAGATCCCGCAACGATGAAGTCGCCGTTCAAGAACAAGGTCTAGAGCTCATCAGAAACTTGGTAGGGCTCGGGGTGGGCGCCTCTGCGGAGTCACCTTATGATACGACAGAGATGATTGATTACCTGTTTAGAACCATTGGGCAAGATCGGCTCTTTGACCTGTTATCCTCAAAGCTACAAGCCAAGGTGCTCCATCCCTTTTCTCGACGGGCGCCAACGCCGGGACAGGAGACAAGACTCATCCACCCTCATGCGAAAATCATCATCCCGGTAATTTATATCTTGGTCCACATAGCGGCCAGCACACACCAGCATCGACAGCTGGTTGCTAGGCAGACAGACCTGCTCAAGCTGCTCTACCAGCAGATTGGCAATCGAGATAAGGAGGTCCGTGTCGCCGTATGTCATTTCATCATAAACCTTACAGGTCACGATGACGAGAGTTTGCAAGAATGGTCTATGAGGGCCAACGAATTGAAGAAGCTGGGATTCCACACCAGAATGGAGTTTCTCAAACACAATGACAGAGATCTCGACGTGAGGGAACGCGCCAAAACGGCAGTGTACCAGCTTGATAAGGCGATTGCTTATTAGAACGGAGAAAGCCCCTGGTTAGATACTTGGGATGACTTGCACAAGAGAAAAAAACGGGAAGAAGCAAACGGAGGAGCGATTGAATTCGATGTCGGAGATGAAGATGATCCAGCCCTATTGAGCTCGTTGAGTTCATTGAGTTCCGTAAGGATGGATGACCAAAATGGAGATGGAGACGAAGATGGAGACGGATACGTCATTGTTGAAGGCGAAGCTGGAGTTGAACATGAAACCGCGAGGGGCTCTGATAACGAAAACGAGGGCAAAAATGAAGATGGAGATGCAACCATGATCGCAGGTGGAAACGAAAACGAGGGTGGAAACGAAAACGAACATGAAACCGCAGCTGGAAGCGGGCTCGCAGGTGGTGATGAAACTGGAAGATAATACGTACAAGTACCAGTAACAGCCCTCGATGATTGAGTGACGTCGAGGAGAGGCGGCTCGCCCGAGCAAGAATGTGGCAGTGGGTGGCCGATGAGGGCTGGGATTCAATTGATGCCAGTGACGGGAGAACGAAGGTGAAATGAAGACGAAAGAGGGGGGGAATTACTCTTGGATTTGCTCTGATACCGTTCTTGTGTTTTATCTTTTTCTTATCACTCTTGGTATTCTTACTTCTATGACATGGGCATGGATATTGGGAGTAACGGCTTTCATAATTCAAAAACTCCAAACACGAAGAAAGGGGAAAGGGGTGGAACAGGGTATGTTTTATTATGAAGCGACTATTTTACATTGCTCAAAAATGATAACAGCGAATTTGTTTTTGTTCTTCTTTCTCTTCTTTCTTGGGATTTGCACTCTACATTCTCTTGGTTTTATTTGAAGTATCAAGTCTGAAGGCTTTGTGAAGTTGGGACTAGAGTAGGGTAGTTGCTTACCTTGGGTTCGATTTTCCCTGATGTTGGTTCATGTGGGCATGCCGTATATTAAAGGTGTCCAATCTCAAAAAGAGATTCTGAGTTACTGAGGACGGAAACAAATAGCGAACGACTAGAAGGCGACTGGTCTATAGCTTGATACGAATGACCTCAGAAAAAAGAATGATCGCCTCATATTCACAATAATAAATTCACAAAATCTTTGTAAAAAGATGCCTTGCCCACATCAAACACAGCCCATTTCTATAAATTGGAAATCTAATTCGCACATCATCACGTCTTTTTTTTCTATTTTTATTCCTCATACCCTATACAACCACACTTCCTCGACGAACGTCCACAATGTCCACTACACATACCACTCACACCCCCCCTTTTCTCTATACTATTTACATTTTTCTTCGACAAAAGCATAGCCCCCTCCCAGTCATGCACGTTGGACCCGACACATGTAAATTCTATCTCAAATAGTACAAAAATACCATGCTTGCGTTGGTTCGTTGATTAAAAAAGCACAGAAAACCCCCCTGCCAGAAATCTGCAAGTTTTAAAATATACCATGTCACCAACAGGAAAAAAGAAAACACACATTGACCCAACCAACACCACCCCCCCGATTCCAGAAAGGAAAAAAAGAAAGCAAAACGGCTCTAGTACTACAACACCAAATTGAGATACGACGCTTATTCACGGGCGGTATTTTGAGTCGTCGCGTGTGTCTTCAAAAAAAAAAAAGAAATAAGCCTAATGCAGGGAGGCAAAAAGAAGAATCCGGAGCAACAAGAAAGGATCATACCCATACCCATACGCATATACGCGCACGCGATTTGTTAATGAAGATGGAGAAGAGCCAACAGTGATTTCTTCAATGAGCCATGGACGCAGAGTGTAATCATAAAGAGAGAGAGAGAACGATGTCACTACGGTTCTTTGGGGAAATTTACTCGCCTCTTCACTGAGACAGAAATTGATGCTATTCTCAACTCGAAAGAGGCAAAGGAGATACGCCCCCAAGACATCTGGTACTACCTACATTGCCAATATTAGCAACACGTAGCAGCGGTATGAACTTGATGTCTAGCCTCATCCGTAAGCTTCGAGACCAGTGTCTCGTCTCATCGCGCAGACCATATACTGTACTCATAAAGTCCACAACTTCGATTTCAAGATACATAGTAAGCGTGGACCAAAAACATCCCACACTTTTGAAACCTCAACTTCTTTATGAGCAAACCATCCATCTACAGCAGTTTCACACTAGCAGACACTCCAGATCAATTTGCCGAAAAAGAATCACGTCTCATCTTTAACGATCTAGGCCATAGCATATTGCGATAAAACCTCGATCTAATATTGAAACTGACAGAGAGCTGGAAAAGGGGCTGAGGATGGGCATCGCCGGCTCGTGCACAGGTATGCGGCTTGCTAAGAAGAGGTGTAGCTCTGCCGATCAAGAAGAAAGCGAAAGAAGTCTGGGTTAGAAGACAGATGGCACAGCCAACAGCTCCAAGATAAGACTCTCTGCAAGATTTCACTCTGTAACGATTAATGTGTTCACAGGGCGAAAAGGGGGGCCAAGTCACATGTAAGGCTGCAAACGCAAAGGTAAGACAAAGAGAGTCAAGGCAGCATATCGCCGGAGTGTTTTGCGTCCAACAGTTGGAGACAAGACGTAGGGAGACCTGTTTGTACCACCGCCGCCACCGCCGCCGCCACCATCTCAGTTACTTCCCAAGGTGATGGCAGTAGCAGTGAGGTACTTCATGTTCTTAGACACGCAGAGCCCTCTGAGACTTCTTGCTGGCACCAAGCCGGGTGTTGGAGATCCTGATAGCACTTGTGGAGCACCTTTTGTTTTACTTGACAGATGGTAACAGATGAAACAGCCCATCGCGGGGGGGAGGGGGGTACGGTAATGTGAGCCAGTTGTTTGTTCCTATGGAACTCGCGGCTCTAGCGCCTGTCTCTGAATCTCCGGGTACCTATTACTATTAGAAGGGCGAGATATGCCATGTCTCAAGCTAGTATAAGTCCATTAAAGGATACACCAACAGAGCCATGTTGTCTGTGGGCTTTGGGTGCCGGTCAAGGAGGGCAAGCTGTATGGAGTAAATTGATTCGCAAAAGTAACTGGCTGGCTTTTTTCTCCTCGTCATTGGATTGAAGGAGTATTCCGCGTTAGGACCATGTGCCCCAGAGACGAAATTGCCCTGGCGGTGACACGCAAAGCCGGCTCTCGCGACCAGCATTAGGAGACTCGATGAATCAGAAACGCCCATTTGGACGATACGCCCAACCAACAGTTCTTGTTAGTCCAGCCACCACCACCGCTTCGTGTGCCACAAAGTTCCCGGATGATCCTTAGATGACATGAGAAGGGGGCCGGAAACTTGCAAACCTTGAACGACGCTATGAATGAGACATGCATAATAAGTGGCGGTCCTTGGTCATGTTAATGAAATATCAATCCTTGGCTTTTCGTGTGGTCTAGCTCAGTCCCGGCTCCTAGCTGGGCGCGTTCCACGTGGATTTCGTAAGAAACCGATGGATACTGCGGTTGGATGTGAACTTTCTTGTGGTTGAGTTGAGTGGCTGGTAAATGCTCAAGGAACTGTGTCCCAGCTGAGGTTAGAGTTGCAGCTAGTGCTAGCGTTTGAGCAGATCTGCATTAGCTGCTCTTTTCTTGAGCTAGAAGCCGTCTGGTGCTGGAAACGTGTCTGAGTATGAGGAATGGGAGTAGGTCGCGCACAGTATTCTGGACGATACTCCATATACCTACCCGTACAGATCTGGACAAGAGTTGGATGATCTGCGGGCTGCAAGCTTGCATTAGGACGAACGATGATGCACATGTCCAAGGGCAGGTTATGATGCCAATCGAGCCCGCAGCTTTGACCATCTGACGGCGGCATGGCCTGCAGATATGAGCACCCAGGACATGCCAGCCTTGGCAAGCACAGACTCAGCAAGCAAAGCCATTCAATGGTTGAAACTCAACGATTATACCGGATACAGTGACGCTGCTAGTGCTGATCAGACACAATGCTCGTGCTCTGGGCGGCCAAGCCGGCAGCGACAACTTTTTGCGACCAACATGAAAACTGCCTGCGTCAAAGCATGGTGCCACTTTGGCGTGTGCCGTCGGCAGTGGGCGAGAGGGCAAGAATAGCATCTCCAGACTCTTTGGCGTGTTTGCGCCGGTGCACTTACAGACAGAGCTGTGCGAACAAACCCCCACTTACTTGCCTGTTGGGCGCCATGTTGGCAGAAGTACCAGCGACCGGTCACAGGATCTTTGCTGGGGACCTCGCTATCCATTGGCCAGGTGGCGAATAGGCGCACGAGTCGTTTGGTGGGCTGTTGGAAGCCGCGTTGCTTGCTGGAATGCTCAGCTGAGAGAGAGTTCCATGGACTTGGTATCGACGGTGTCGGCACTGCGTGTAGACGCCCGAAACCTCGACCTTGGGCTTGGGACTACGAATTGGCCAGCCTGTGGCTGCGGAGTGTCGCCGCTACTTACTCAGACGCTTCGTGCCGCGGGTACAAAGGAGACCAGGCTGGAGAAGGCAAATTGGTAGGTCATCGTGCCATGCTGCGAGCCCTGGTGCTACGCAGTCGGGGACTCGTGGTGAAGTACTTTGGTGTACAACTCCCATCAACTACCGTCAATAGCGGTTGTCAGTCAAACCCGTCGAAATTGGGCTGTAATGATACGTAGGCCTATACTCAAGGTACTGCGATCAGAATTAGCAGCCAAACTAGACTAATACCTCTCCTGCTTCTTGGAAGCCAAGCCGTGATCAGTAAATGAGCAATCACTTGCAAAGAGTAGGCCTCGAGAAGACTTGGCTGTGGGGCAAGCTCGCAGGGCACAGACTTGGACAGGCCGCCCTGCGAACAGGGCCTATTCCATTCGCCAGTCTACCGTGCTGTACTGTACAAGTATAGCGCAACGATGCGAGACACCAATTGGCCCGACGAGTTGAGCAGAGGCGACGGTGGAGCGGAGCCCAAGACTTGGAAGAGGCGAGGGTGCCGCTGCTGTTCCGCCTACCAAGGTTCGAGGCAAGGCCATCGCGGGACAGCGGTCGTGTGCAGCCGGGCGACGCTGATAGGCTCTGCGGGTGGCTCTGAGGGTAGCATTCCAGCGGTTCCAGCAGTTCCAGCACCACACGCGGACGGGCTTTCGGACCAGCAAGACTTAGAGGGGGTGCGAAGCTAATAAGTCGGACGCGATCTGGTGAAAAGGGCCGCAAGATGATCTCGGCCGACACGCCCAATCGGGTTGCTGACCTTCATCCAATGCTGAAGCGGTGCGGCACCCGCCTGGAAGCATATCCTTGATTGAAATAGAATGAATCTGGCCCCCCTGGAAAACCGTTTCGTCGCTGCATCTGACAGCAAGGATATCGTGGATGATAATGAATGAGCAAGGAAATGAAAGAGTTGAACAGGGGTATTGCTAGAGTTTTTCTTCTTTTCCCTTTCTCTTTCCATTTCTAAAAATCTCTAGAAGGGGAAGCTACGGCTGAAGAAGAGCCTCGGCTGGGCACCTCCTGCCGCAAGCATTAACACGAAAATGAATACAATGGCAGGAGCATACAGACTGCATGTACCTCCTTTGAACAAGACAATAGGAGCACTGCCACTGCTAGCTGATGCTCTTGCCTTTGCGAGCTGGAGCCTCGTGTGTTTCCTGCCGAGGCAGCGACGTTCTGCAGCAGCCTCGTACTGTATCATTACAGGGCATCTATTGCAGTAGCAAGTGTAGCAGAAACGCGCCGGCAGCAGCACGCTCGTAGGAACAAGCCCCTTGCCAGTGCGCAGTGCGCAGGTGAGAGCAAGTACTTGCGCCTCAAATCAGTTTCTTCTTTTCTCGCTCTTGATG